TGAGCACAGGGGTCTTTTCTGAGACTGATTCTCCAACCAAGAACCATTCATGGAGCTAACCTAGAACCCTGCACAGATGTAACCCATGGCAGCTCAGTCTCCAAGTTGGTACCCTAGTAAGGGGAACAGGGGCTGTCTCTGACATGAACTCAGTGGCTGGCTCTTTGATCACCTCCCCCTAATTGGGGGAACAGCCTTACCAGACCACAGAGGAAGACAATGCAGCCAATCCTGATGAGACCTAATAGGCTAGGGTCAGATGGAAGGGAAGGAGGACCTCCCCTATCAGTGGACTTGGGGAGGGGCATGGGAGGAAAAGAGGGAGGGAGGACGAGACTGGGAAGGGATGAGGGAGAAGGCTACAGCTGGGATACAAAGTGAATAAATTACAATTAAAAAAAAAGAATCTTGAAAAAAAATTAAAAGCCCTTAAAACTAAAAAAAAAAACAAAAAAAAAAACCTAGGTTCTCTGATGACAGCAGGACAGATCCAGAGGGGGCCCCAGTCTTACTCTTGATCAACTGTCAGTCCTCTCGTTAAAGTTTTTACTAACGTTATGTAAAGAAAGTTGTAAAACTCGCAAATGCAATCTACTTCATACTACAAATGCTAACAATAAGCAAACAGCTAAAAAAAAAACAAAAAACAAAAAACAAAAAAAAACAAACGTTTAAAATACAGAAGCTGGCCTAATTCCAAGTGTGCTCTGCTCAAAGAATACCATCTGGACTTATTAAGAGTGGGATAAAATTGGCAAGGCATTTTTAACTTTACTAGTTTTAAATGCTTGGTCAAATATCAACCAGGAGCAGACAGAAATAAACATGGCTGTTTGCTTACTTCCAGAATAAGAATTTCAAGAGGTTTGTGTGTGTCTGCTTTTTCCTTGAGTTCTATCTTCCTAGCCCCTCAGAGACTGAGGACTGAACCATCATCACTTCCTGAAACATGCTGCAGATTCATTCTCACGAGGTAGATTTGTCTGTAAGGTACTAAGTAGAAATATGGGTACCAGACAGTTAAGTGACCTCCTCAATTCACCCTGGAAATGATTCACAGGAAAACAAGACTAAAATCCAAGATGATACAAGGCCTGTATCAATATCCTTAGTCCAAATTACTTATGGAGCTGCCACTAAGAAGCTGGCCCAGGGTAAAGTGAGACCCAGCCCCTGGAATGTCCATGCCACTGAGAACGGAGTGAAGTGGGGAAAAGAAAGAAATGCTGTTTGAAGCTTCTTGTTATACAAATATTGGCAGCATTAACTTAAGATCATACAGGGCCGGAACAGCCGATGTTTATCCTCTGATAACAATGACATATATCTTTTAAACCCACGTTCATCAACTGTGTTCACTATAAAGGCTTGGCATCCTCCTGTCAGCAAAGATCTCTGAAGAGCCTTGCCATACTTCAGAACACTCAACAGCACCATTGGCTCCCACTAAACATTTAATGGGTTTGAAATGATTCTAATATAAAAGGAAACAAAATTCAGGGTGACGCTTACAATAATTAATAAAAAGTTGTGTACAACGATGAAAACTAGAATGGTAGGAAATATAATTTGGAAGTTACAAAAGTACTGATAAAATTGTAAGATTATTTTCCTTTTAATTCCTAAAAAAAAGACTTACAGTAACATAACCAATGCTAGCTTCATTTGTTATTCATTAAGGAAATCTGTTGTGCAGACAAAGGGGCATATTTATGATTCTCAGGTTCTACCTTGCAAAGCATTTCTGCAGTACTTCAGGTGGCTTTGCAATCCCTTTTTTCTTACAAGTGAATCAATAAATATGCTTATTTACAAAATATTTGTTATAAATAGACATAGCCTGTAACACAAACCATATATATCCAGATTTTTTTTTTTTAATCTAGCCTGGTCCACGCTTCTTTTTCCAGTTTTTTTTTTTTAAGTCCAATAATGACAGAGCATACCATAGCAGTCTTCAGTAATATCAGATAACCACATCTGTCAAGACAACAGATCAATACTGGTGAACACTGAAGAACAACAACAAAAATCTTGCTTTTTCTATTTTTCCCTCTCTCTTTCTCCCTCCCCCTCCATCTTTTCAAAGGCAAAAACCATCTTTAGAAATTTCATTGACCAAAAATCACTTAGAAGAAATATAAAATATAATAGTCTCAACGTGATGATCCTACTAACTCAGAGTCCAAAACAGTACTTGAGAAGTTAACAACTCATCCAGATCAATGCGTTCAAATGCCGTAGAAAGCAAGCGACATCATGCAAGGTTAATATTGGAAGGTGAAAACCCACCAGTTTAGGCATCCAGGTGGTTCTCTGAGAAGGGTGTGCTGGCCTTACAACAGGGAGCCTCATAGTCAACATGCAAACTGGACACATGTCACAATAAAAGCAGAGCTCCAAGGCTAATGATTAGAAACAATTGATTTCAACACAAGTAAGAGAACAGGTCTGAATTACAAGGAAACAAAGTATCTTTTAAGCTTATTTTAACAGTAAATACTGCTTCTAGCATAATTATTTATGCCATAAAGAAATAACAACATTTGAATTTAGAGAAAAGTGTGTTTATATACAGATCTTGAGTTAATCTGTACTTCAGGACTTTTAAAGGTAGGTAGTCTGAAATTTTCAGCCCTGGCTGGAGGCCAAGGGACACCAGCACCATTTCCCTAAACTAAATCAATTCTCTATGTATGAAAAGACAGTATTTAACATTTGCATAATTCTTCTACATACCAGACAGGATAAAGTTGTCTATCCCATACAGCTCATAAACACTCACAAAAAGGCCACAGGTGTCAAAGCCCCTTCCAGAAAAGGCCTTTGTACGTACGGATTTGACACTCTAAGAAAAGGAGTGGTTATGGATTTTTGGATTAAACTATCATTTTAAGGCTTTTGAAAGGTTGGGTAGTTAAATTTCTTCTTAAACTACAGAGCCCCTGCCACATAAATGGCTGCAGAAGACTGGGAAAATTGCCTATCCAATGTTTCCGGAGTGTCCCAGTCTATGTGAGACACTGAAAAGGAGGACAAAGCAACGGTCAACAGTAAAAGCATGCAGGGTCGCTTTGGGGTGAGTACCACCTGCCATGCGCCTCAATCTGATTTGCCTAAATGTGTTAACTTTGGGGCAAGAAAGATGGCTTAGACAATCCATTGCTACTCCTTTTTCCTCACAATATGTACTCTCCAAAAATTCATATTTGACTATTGACAGGAAAAATGACCCCAAGAGGTCCCTATGACAGTAAATGATCAGGATTGGAGGTATAACAGAGGCAGTTACACATCTGAAGCCGTATACGTAGTTCAATGGTTTAGTCTTGACAGGTCAGATGAGCACCCTCTTTTCCAGTCACAGAAAGATCAACCACCAAACAGCCAGCGCAAGGACCAGGAGAAAAGACATCATGAAAGGAATACGAGGAGACGGGAGAGTACTAGGGTAGAGGTGGCACTTTTTGAGAGCCTTGTGTTCCTCGGGGATTGGAATAGAAACCTTAGGAGAAAGCTCTTCGTTTTCTTGCTGGGGCAAGGTTCTTTCAGTGGATCTCTCTGGCCTTTTAATTTTCTCTTCACCCTGTACTAACAGAGCACGTTCCTGTGTCTGCTTTCACAGTAGAGGATCAAGAAAGACAGAGAAAGATGAACAAAATGACAGATGGAAAATGCTTGAAAGTGATACTTGGGGATGTGCAAAGGCATGGAAAGATCTTTTGGATGCTCTTGATTTTTTTTTTTTTTTTTTTTTTTTTTAGCTTCTCTTTACTTTGGCAATTTACCTAGCAGTTTCTATAACCCTGCAGGCTTAACTATTTAATCAAAATAAAATTTAATATTTTTAAGTAAATGAGCATTGGAATACTTGAAAACTCAAGCAATAACTGGCTTCCCTTCATTGTATCACTTATTTTCTTGTTGCGCCTATTCATGAACAGAATTTTTTCCCCCACATATCGATCCCAGGTCATTTTTAATTTCTTTGATGCTGCCAATCATCAGCGGATCAGGCAATGTCAATAATGAAGCATTCTTCTTGTCATGAATAAAGTTACTTTTATTAACAAATAGAATGGCAGAATATAAAGAGCACGTTTCTTATCTCTTCCAAAATAAGACTTAATTGCAATAGCTCAGTATAAGATTTTTCTCAGGGGAACAGAAGTACTAAAAACTGAAAAATAAGAGCAAAATTATAAAATGTATAATTTGCCTCCAGGGTATACCCTAGAGTGGGGCAGAGACAAATAAAAACAAGAAAATAAAGAAAAACACAAGGAAAAAAAGAAAAGCCCCCACAAGACCTCAGCAATGGCACAGCTTGGGTCCTGACTGAGACAGTGAAGATCACTATGGAGGGTTATAGTAAACTTTTGATAACTTTTAAGGAAAGTCTCCCCCAGTTGGCCAACTTGGACTTTTTCTCCCCCTGCATCTCTGTATTCTGCTATCCATAGTCAAGGCAGGTGGTATCTAGGAAAGGAAAAACTTGGCTCTGAGTTCTCTTAGCTGAGCTAGCCTTCTCTGGTCAGTCTGGAAGCTGAATACTGGTTCTTTGCACACCCCTAAGTGATATGTATCAGGGAGAAAGTAGCTAGGGGACTGATCAGCAAAAAGAATAAAAGGAAAAAGACAGGATGCAAAATTATAATGATTTTTAAATGAAGATAAGGTGGGAGAAGAAAGACAACATAAAAAGAACAGGGTATAATTAAATTAATTCTCTCTCCGAGTACACAGTAACATCTTCATGCAGCTTTTCAACCAGCCATGCGCCGAAAGAAGCAAATTGAAAACTGCAGATGCTGCAGCAGTGGGAATGTGGTATGTTAGGCCAAAAGGCTGTGGGTGTGGATTTACTAGTATAGCCAAAAGAAAACAATTATTCAGCCGCTGTGGTTGAGTTCTGGGGGTTCTCTGCTTAGTGCCATGACAGGAGCGAGTTCTGAGTGAGCAGCACAGTCATAGCGCAGCTTTACCTCTGGCCCACCAACCTTTCTTTCCGAGGGGAGGGTAGAAGTTTTCTTCACCTGGTCATACACAAATTATATAAGATTCAGTTGCCTTGCAATGCAAGAAGCAATGCTGCCAAAGGTAGGAGAGGTTTCCCCAGGGGACAGAAGTGTTAGCCTAACCATAAAAAGAAATGCCAAAAAGTGGGGTTGTCCCAGTTCAAAGATTAAGACAGTATAGTTATTTATCCAAACATGCATTCTGAGGGAGCGTGTGTGTGTGTGTGTGTAAAGGTAAAATTATTTGAGTACTTCTCATGGATCAATCTGAGTTTGTAAAAAGTAATTTCTTTAAAGTTCAAAGAATTGTACTGCCATGCCCAAAAATCATCCCGAGGATGATTTCTAAAGGGTTTCTATTCAAAGACATAAGCTATTTTCTGAAAATGGAGACCAATACAAATTTACCCAGTGCCATCCAAGACAGCATCAAGTTACTTCTTCAAGCTACTTTCAGAGTTCAAAACAGAACTTCTCGAAAACCATACAGTTACAGTTTATAAGAGGGAGGAGTTACTAGATGAGATGGCAACAAGCCGTTCACATGTAGAACATCGGAGGAAGCAAGGACATCTAAGACCATCTAATCTATAGACAGGCCCAACAAGACAAAGGGCTTGTTCAGAGCATTTTCCTCTCAGTCAAGTCAAACCACAACTCCCCTTGGACCTTTATGAGTCTTATTTCTGAGGACACATCAAAATGAATTACCTGCCTTCCAGAGTGATGGCTTCACCCAGAAATTCTCTAATTTTTCCAGGTTCAAAGTACATAGTATAGACTTAGAACACAGCACCAACGTGCATGTATGTCCAGGAGCAGGGTCTAAGCAGACAGCGTGTGGGAACAACGGAATCTACCCTACCACCCTGGGACTACTCAAGCTGCCTCTTCCAGAGGCATCCTTCCACCTCACTTGTGAAACTGCTAGTTAATTTTAATCCAAATTTGAAAAATATAAATGGTTTTCTCAGAAGAATTTTTATCCATGTCTACAGTTCCAGAATCTAAATTATAAATGACATAACTGGCTAGTTTACCAAGAATCTTGAAAAAAATTTAAACCCAATTTTTGTTTTGTTTTGAGAAAGAATCTCACTATATTTTGCCTCAAAATCCTATACTCAGGCAATCCTTTTTTTAAAATTTATTTATTTATTTTATGTATATGAGTGCTCTATGTGCATGTACACCTGCATGCCAGAAGAGGGCACCAGATCACATGTGCCAACCATTAGTTGGTGGAAACTGAACTCAGAAAGAGCAGACAGTGCTCTTAATCACTGAGCCATGTCTCCAGCCCTCAGGCAAGCCTCTGCCTCAGCCCCACAGGAGTAGGACTACAGGGCAGTCTGGTAAACTCAGATTTTTACTGGGGACATTGCTTTGCCTTTCTCAACTAGAACTGCTATTGTTTGGGTGTCAGAATAAGTACAAAGTCACCAAGTATCTGATCGGTCATTTAAGTTATGGTGACTGTTCACACAGAGGGCAAACTAGCAAAAGATAAAGACTTTTAAATGTAAATCCGACAAGATTCTATCTTTAAACAGCCTATTTATTCTGGGATAGAGTTTCCAAAGTAGGAAATGGTAACAATAATATAGAACAGACTCTGAAAGGTGTCTCAGGTCTCTTCTGATTGTAACTGTCTCATAAAACAACTGGTTGGAGGTTTGATGTTATGCAAAATAAATCATCAGTTGTTTTTCTGAAATTGAGCAGTCTACATTCTCTGGTTTCAGGGCCTCTTTTGTTTCTTATATAACTGTGAGCAACCATTCCAGACATTTCTTAGTTGTACAAATGTTCAAATAAAGTTTTGGAAAAAAAAAAATGTACTCCCTTCCAATTGTGACCTTACTAAGTTTAGCAAACTCTCTGGCCCTGGAAGGCACACTTTGAATATAAACAAAGCTTTACAGGCATGAAGTCAGTTTATAAAAACAAACTAGACAGAAGCAGGCAGCTTTGAACATTTCTCAGAGCCTAGAGGGCTCCTGCAATTGAACTGAGCTGTGTAAATGATTAGGAGTGTTTGATTATTAATGTTTTACAGCAGCAACAAACTGTTAAGGCATCAAAGCCAAATCTCAGCTTTAAATTTTCACCTATAGACTATTAACATACATAATTAAAATTCTTTTGCATTCAGCCTCATAGTCATGTGGACAAAGTACTCACTCCATCTCCAGTAGGGACTTGCCCGTTGATGTTAAGAGTCCGGAAGGGTGAGTGTGTGGATAAGCGCTTGTCCCACTCACTAGGCCGTGGTTCAGGTACTGATTCCATAAAGTTCTTTTTCAGCTCGCTGATGCTGGCATGATGCTTTTTGATTTCTTCTTGACTCTTGTCTAAATCCTACAGGTGAAAGGACAAAGACACAAACCAATAAATAGTTGGGACAAAAACCACACTAAGAGCAACCCATCAGAGACTGGGCACTGGTAAGAAACACCACATCCAGGACAGACATTACTGGCCTGTATTTTGCATTTGAGTTGTAAATATACAGCGCTGTATATTTGTTTGCCTTTTTTTTTTTTTAAACAAAGTGCTATGCGTGGAAGCAGTGAAGCATCACAGTCCCAAGGCTCCCGCAGTTAAAGTGCCCATGAAGAGCCTGTTCCTTAACTGTGTCTCCTCTGCCACAGGGTGCAAAACCAGATCTCCACCTCCTCATCCCGAGAAGGTAACCCCACAATTCCATCAGCCTCAGCTTGATGAGAACTGATTTAGGCTCAGCTCAGGCAGGATGGAGATAGCAAAAGGAAAACTGACGACTGTCAGACATGGTGAATGACTTCAAGCTGCTGCCCTTGGTGAGCTGCACACTGCAGAGACCCTCTCTAGCCACTGTAATATTTTTGCTTCTCTATTATTAAGACCTATTTTGATTCAAAATTTTATTACTGAAATCCCTATTTCCAAGATCCAAAGTCAACTGTTACTACATCTTAAAAAATGACTTTAAAGACTTTTTAAAAAAATTACTCATGTGTATATGTGTGTGCATGTCCAAGTCAGGCCAGAGGACAAACTCAGGTATCCCTCAGAGGTCAGAAACACTGTCCACTGCTTTTGAAGCGGGGTCTCTCTGGCCTGGAGCTCCACAAGCTATGCTGGCTGGCCACCAAGTTCTACGGAGGCTCCTGTGTTTGCTTTTCAAGCTCTGGGACTACAAGCATGCACCACCATGCCCAGCACCTTCAATGGGCTCTAGGGATTAAACTCAGCTCCTCACACTTTTCAGCTGAGCTACCTCCTTCACCCCTATAATGCCCCCCCCATTTTTAGTATTTTTCCCTACAATATAAAAACCTTACGGCTCCCAGTTTCACTTCTCTTAATACAATTCAGAGTAGGATCTTGCTGGAGCTGGGACTGCAGCTCAGTGACAGAGTGCTGTGAGCACACACAGCTCTGGCTCTGATCGCCAGCACCATCCACAAAGGAGCTCCAGCGACTGTCAACAGAGCCTCAGCTCTCTCCTTGATAGTGTAAAATAATCCAGTTGTTCCAGCAGTTTGAATATTGGGAAATCAGAGGTAGATGAAAAGCTCTTCAAGGTATTAGTCTAGGGAGAGATGATCAAAACTAAGGTAATAAAACATAGGCTAAGACAAAATCAAATTTGTTTTTACTAAAAAGAAATGCACTTTTTTTTTTTTTTACAAGGAAATCAGACCAAAAAGGGTCTGATAAACTTAAAGACAAAGACTCAAATGCTCTTTGTCTAATAATACACATCCACACACACACAAAAAGATACCCTCAAAAGTTTGAGTTGAGTTGAGTTTCAGTTCACAACTGCTGGAGCCTGCAGCTATAAAACGACCCTGTGTTGATTTCCCACCAGGACAGCACTGTATCTAGGGAAAGCATGATACTAAAAGGATCTCCCAGCAGGCTGTGTACACTTTAGGATTCATCTATTTTTGGCATTGTGGGAAATAATTTCATTTTGGAAGACAAAAATAAAAACCAAACAAAATAAAAAATTGGGGATCAAAATGTGTTTTCTGTTTCCTTGTTTTGTTTTTCCTTGCAGGGAAGAAAGTCCTTAACTAAATAAAACTTTCTCCAAATTGCTACCAAGGAGAAAACAACAAAAACTCAGGGACTCGCGTGACATCTAGACCCTGGGGCTGTTCCTTAAGAAACTCAAGAACTACTTACTCGCTTTTCTTTCCTTTTTTTTTTTTCAAGACTGAGCGTGTGTATTTGCTTTGAGAACAAAGAGAACACTAACTCCAAAAGGTAACTGTAGCTCTCCATAAAGAGCATCTCTCGCTTACTAAGAAGAGATGTGAGCATCTTTCAGGAACATGAGCTTCTTGGGCGGGGGTGTGGGGAACGCCTGAGTTACAGCTGAAAGCAGGGAAGGTGCTGCTATAGGCTGAAGGAAAGCGTGTACAAGCTCAAGACTCAGTCTCGCGCTGAGCAACTGAGCCTAGACAGGCATGTGAGAGTCTGTGACCCAGCTCCTGAGTTGATGTGAAATCTGTTTGGGCCAAGAACAACCTAACACGTTTGGGATGATTAAGCGTGCAAACAAGGCAAAACAAAAATGTCTAAGAGCTGCTGTGGTGAAAGCAGCTGGGCCCACTGACTTGTCTCCCTCTTGCCCGGCTTTTGATTGGTTTGGAATCTAAGAAAATACATTTTTCAATAAAACTGGTCGCTTCTGAGGGAGCTTTCTCCATCCTTCTTAGCTGGTTTTATTGGAAACCTGTGGGGGCACAGAATAAAATTAAGATCTCAAAGGGACCTGTTCCAAATAGAACTTGTCATAGACATTTGCTACAGGTTCTCTCTGGGAGATGGAGGAGGAGGCGGTAGATCTAAAAATGAACTCGACCTTATTTGTGCCAGAACAAAGCATTAGTGGGGGTGTGATAAGAGAAGGCAGGAAGGGGTGCTTAAAAAAACTGCCAGAGCAACAGACAACAACTTCCTTGTGGGGGCACTTTTCACAACAACTAAGGAATTAATGGTCAAATTATGTCAGGTTATGTTCAGGTTAGATAATTTTTGAGGCCTGTCATCTTATGATTTTAGCAGCAATAAAACCAAACACTTGGTTAAATGTAAAATGTTCTCAAAAGGCAGTTAGTAGTTTTAAATTTCAAACACACACACTTATTCAGAAATCCCCTCTCAGAGAAATGCCACAGAAGAAAACACAGCATGACACGGGAATTTTGTGAGTCTCAGAAGCCACAGCACACCTCGTGGAACAAATGACAAATATATGATTGGCACAGCGGGTTCAGGGAGTGAGGAGTGAGGAGACGTTACCCTGAGAAGAGGTGATCCCTGGACATGTCTTGTCCTTCCTAGTCTCCAAAGACAAAAGGACTCAGGTCTCAGATTTGGGCCAAGACAGAGAAGAGTCTGACCTCAGGGATTTTATGTTACATGACACAAAATGTATGTAAAGCGCTTGGCATTGTGCCATCATTCAGTATACATATAATTAATAAAGGTCATCCATAATTTTTAATACTTGTATTAAGGTACTTTATATTGGCAGATATTCAAAATGTAGTTATTGACAAAAATAAAATGAGATTACATAATCATTATAGGCTATATATATATATATATATATATATATATATATATATATTTTAGACTAGATCTCATCTACCCCAGACTGGCCTTAAAAAATAGAATGACCTCAACCCCCTGATCGTCCTGTCTCAGCCTTCCAAGTGTGGGGATTAAAGATGTGCTACTATGGCTAGCTAGAGCTCTACTTTTTAAAGTTTCCTAAAACCTTCACATTAGAGATATTTAATACACGGAGCTTTTTTCAGGTCTCAGTTAAATGCTACCGCACTGGACACAGTGGCACACAGCTGCAATACCCACATTCAGGAGGCCGAGGCAAGGAGACTGCTGAAAATGCTACCTTCCTAGCGACCTTGCCTGTCTTAGAGCTCCCCTGCAGCAGAGCACAGTGTCTGTCTTCTACAGCTCCTCTAATAGCTTGTACCTATGGAGTTGCTCTTTACTCATCTTCACCTCTCTCCCCATCAGTTCCTCACGCTGTAAGTTTCCTGCAAGCAGAAGCCATGTTGGTTGTTTCCTTCACAGGAAAGTTAGCTCGCTGATGGAAGAGTTTATACTCATGTCTTTTGGTTCTGCCTTGAGCTGTTATATAATGTAGCCTTCAATTTCTGTAAAGGGGTTTTCCTGATGTACAAACTACGCTAGTCTCATTTTCTTCCACAAAGACTAATTCCAATTTCCTTAATTTCTCTAATCGAGTTTCTTTAATCTCCAAATTGGTTTTACATTTCATATCCAATGTGGAGCTCCAGACCAGATAAAGTATAAAAAATGAGGTAAAAATTTAGCCACTACTGAATGTAATGAAAAGGACCTTAGGACTCCTATATATTATGCTTTCTGAGAAAACGGCCCTTAAAATTCATAAAACTTCCTACATCAAATTCCAGCTTTATCAGTTTACCAGCTCTGTGGCCAGTAAGGAATTCCTTAGATTCTCTAGCTTCAGTGTTTTCATCTTAAAAATATAAATCCTACTCACAAGCTTGCTTTTACAGTTAAGTCTTCAGTAACAACCCCTCAAATGCTAGGCTCCATTCTTTCTTGTTTCTTCCTTCTCCTCCCAACCTTTCTTCAGTAACTTTTGCTATCTCCAGGGCATAAGCCCTGGAGTGAATTGTAATCACTTTCCCTCTTTTTTGATACTCTTTTCAGTTCAAGGGGGAAAAAAGGGCAAATTTGTTTCTTGGGATATTTAGAGTTTATACTCTTAGAAAATTCAAGAAATGTTTAGCAATGATGTTTGAATGTTCTGTAAAACAGCAGAACCATGAATGGGAGAGACAGCTCCAATCATATATTTTTCTAGATAGCATGAGAGATGGAAACTAAAAGTTCAGAGAGATGATTGCTTATCTCCATGTTTACCAACATGCAAAAAGCACCTTAAACCTAAAAGTCTCTCATGCAGTGGCATGCAAAACCAAATGCAGCACAGAACAGAGAAAAAGGGATCAGCAAAGAACGCAGAAGGTTCCAGGCAACCAACTGAAATAAGCTTCAAGTTCATACAAACCTCCAACATTAAATTGCTATGTCTGATATAAATGTTTTCACCATCTAGTCTCTCTCTCTTTTTCTGTGAAAATGAAAGAGGGGAAAACAGAAGCATAAAAAATTAAAATGTTGTTCTTGCAGGGGAACAAACTGCAAATTGGCAAACAAACAAACAAACAAAAGAAAAAACAATTAAATGTCTGCAATGCAGCATATGCCAACATGAAATGATCACAGAACCACAAGGACACATAGAGAGTATGGTTACCAGAAGGGAATATTTGCAAATGATGGAAAGCGGTGATGATGTTATTTAAATAGACAGTGCTCCTGGCTTCATAGTTTCTAACATAATAAGCTGTTTTATATTTGTTTTAGAAATTGAACTATCTGGATATTAATCTAAGATAATATTTAACTCTAAACACCATGTAACATAGAGTGGAGAAATGCTGTAAAAACACTTAGCTTTTTGGAGAGTTTTATACTTACGAATACTGCAATATCTGAATCTCTACAGTATCCTGTATTCAATCAGCTAACAAGATTACCCAGTAAGAACTGGTTCATCCCATTCTGAGGCTGGGCAATATGCACATAGCACTTAAACTCACACGGTTAATGCCGGAAGTAGCTGCCACGATGGCCTTTGTGATAAATATGTACAAAATGCTAACAGGTCTAATAATATGATGCCATTGGGAAAGTTCTTGTAAAGTCTGAACATGAAAGATAGGTCTGGCTCTCACAATTACATTAAGATACTTCTCCATTGAAAGCTTACTTGGATAAAACCTATCAATAAATAGTCTAATTTCTTTGTGTGTGTGTGTGTGTGTGTGTGTGTGTAAATACACATCACAACTATACTGCTTGAAGGTTTCCCACATACTGGCTCTCTCAGAGTAATTTCTGCTGAAGAAAAATCAAAGTCTGGACCACTGTCTTTTTAACACACTGTATGAGCATGGGTGAAATGGTGGCATAGTTGTGTGAAAGTGAAAGGTGGCTAACCTTCCTCATTCTTATCAGATCTTCAGTTTTTTCTGCAAGCTTCTGTTTTGCCACAGTTCAATAAAAAATAAAAATAAAAATAAAGATAAAATATTGGCTCACTGAAGTTTCTGAACCTTTCTTTATTTTTAAGGAAAGAGGAATGGGGGAACGTTAAAAACTGAGGGCTGGAAGGGGGAAGGAACAAGTGGCCTGCTGGCACAAACCTGTGTTTGGTCACCATGTGAGGTAGGTGCTGTGACCTCGGTGTGGGTCTGTTCCACCTACATTTAAGAAATAAAATAGTGAAACAACTTAGTTAGGTCAGCAGGCTTCCATGAACTGTTAAGCTGCTTTATAGAGCTGGGGGTGAAAGATACTGAGAAATGATCACCACAACAGGGGAAGTTTAACTCCCAGTGCAACCTGTCAGTTCATCACAGTTTCAAGGCTGAAGAGGTAACATGGATAGCCAAATTAGCAAAAGAAAACTGAGTTAATCATTCGATTAATGAAAAAACATTTTAATTCTTATTTATAAAAAAGGTACTCACGAAAGCAATAATCTAGGCTTAACACTGAGCTACATGTTCTTGTTTATGACCTGGAAGTATTTGATGAGTGTGTGCTTGTGTGAGGGCACGTGTGTGCATACATCATGGCGCTCCCGTGGAGGTTAGAAGACACTCTCAGGTGTTGGCCTAACTACCTTGTTTAAGACAGGGCACCCCACCCTCTGAGGCGTATGTCGAATTGTCCTGATTGTACCTCCCTTCTCGCAGTAGGAGTGTGCTGAGATTACAGGCACAAGTGCTACCGAGGGTCCTGAGCATCTGAATTCAGGCAAACACTTTATTCACTGAGTCATCTTTCTCCCGGCCCTAGAAGTACTTTAAATCATAGTTAAGAACAGACTTACAAATAAAGATATAAATGATGGAAATAAATAATTTCTATAGTTAAAACACATGTCATAAGGCACATAAGACATCAAACAGGTAAATACAAGATTCTGTTAGTTGAGCAATACATTTAAGGAGACAGTTTTACTCTTCAGTTTATCACAAAAAAGAACATCAAAATAAATTATATGCATGCGAATTGTAACTAACACATGTAGCTACTTCCGCCTCAGCTGCAACATACAACACTGCAGGCTCCTGTCTAGGAGCCCACATGCTTGGCAGACAGGCAGAATTTATCCTTAGCAGCAGCAGACGAGTACTATCCTAAGGACATCGGTGTATCTTTGGAATACAGCTAGAAATAACCATCTCATATTCAGAAACTGGAGTAATTATTTAAAAACCTGAGTATGATGAGGAAGCACGGTAGAGTGAGTGCTGCATGAAGCTCTTCGTACTTCAGATTCAGAACCTGGATTGTCCTCTCTAAGGGTTCAGTCAGTTTTGTTATATTACTCATTTTTTACAGAACCTCATCAAATTGTGGTTTTGACATATTCTTTTAACTCGCCCAAAGCAGCACTGCTCTGGAGAACTATGTCACTGTGCTGCTTTCTCTGGGCTGAATTTAAAACTCACTAGCTAGTACCAGACTCTGCAATACCGCCAAACATGTGCACACCCAACCGTGACGCCTTCAACTGCCTGGAGTAATTAACAGTTGGGTCGTCTCTGCTGTAGATGCCCATTAACAAGTTCGTGCACTTTTCTGAGCTTAACTCTTCTTAAGTATTGAAATAGAGATAATGTCTCAGTGTCCAGATTGTTATTGGTTTGTGTTTGAGACAGTTTCATTACGTAGCCTGGGCTAGCCTACAAAATCCATTTCCCATGATCTGGAATTACAGACGTGTGCCACCATGCCCAACTTAAAACAGACTAAATATGTTCATGTTATGTATAGTCTCCAAAAACTAGTTTTAAATCATTTCATAAAGCTTAAGTTCCATAATGCCTTTTGGGTCCTTCGTAATCGAGTAGCATTAAATGGAGAGCCACTACTTCAATTTAAGAATTGAGGCCAATCGTCCAGCTGCAACATGACAGCATGTGCCTGGTCTTACTGTAGCTTGTTATGCCATGGTTGGTTGATGTCCCTGAGAGGCATGCTTTTTCTGAGGGGAGGTGGAGGGAGGGATCTGGAGGAGAGGGTTGGGGCAGAGGGGGGAGGGGAAACTGCAGCTGGAATGTAGTATATGAGAGAAGAATAAATAAAAAGGAAAGAGAGAGAGAGCCATGAGGCTAGAAAAATGGCTCAGCAGTTGGGAAAATTGTCTGCTCTTCCAGAGGACCAGGGTTTAATTCACAGCACCCAGATGGCCTCACAACTGTCTGTACCTCAAGTTCCCGGGCATCCAACTCCCTCACAGACATACATACAGACCAAACATAAATGCACATTAAAAAAAAGAAAGAAAGAACTGAAGCCAAAAAGAAGGGAGCAGTGGTACATACCTATATCCTAACTATTAGAAAGAATAAGGCAGAGGATTTCTTGAGTGCAGGCGTTCAAACATAGCCTAAGAAATGTGCAAATGCCATTTCATTCTACCAAAGCTTCAAGGGTAAGAGGAACCTATTTTTGAAATATTTGCTTATTTTATGGGTAAAAGGAAAACTAGTGAGATAGCAGAAGACCTGAGGTGTCTTAGCCATTCAGGAAGACCCCTTGACAACTCCAATAGCCTGACCCTTTCTAATCAGCATAAAAAAAGGACAGTCAAAAGTGCTAGCTGATATATTCCAACATTAAAAACCAAACAGGTTTTCAAAGGCCACATGAACCTGAAGCCCAATATCTTGGTCACCAGGCTGGTTACAGAAATACAAACACCCCATAATACACTCAAACACAGAGAACATGTATGTCATATTTAAGAGTTAAAAACAATAATAGTGTCCATTGTTCTACATTAACTCACATATTGGCCTGGCTCCATAAAAATGGGCCTGATCTGCATGATATCACTAAGCAAAAAAGGAGGCACTTCCTGGTGTCTTAAAGTGTTGTTTTTATGAAGGCCATTCCTCGTAGCCCCTTCACACAGTGAGACCTGTATCTACTTTAACAAGCCTGAACTAGCACTGTGCAAGTGTTATTTAAAAGCCTAAACATAAATAAAAGATTAGCCCAGTTATGATTTCTTGGAGATTTGCTAATTAACTGGTGGTGTACTGTGGTTTTTCAACACAGTACAGTAACTATGGGTTTACTCAACTCAGAGGCATAATAAATCTTCTCCATATCTAGCTGTTTACTGTCTAAATATCTGGGCCGGAGAGATGGCTCAGCAGTTAAGAAGGGTACCTGGGTTTGATTCTCAGCACCTACATGGTGGCTCACAGTCTGTAACTCCAGCTGCAGAGGATCTGATGCCCCCTCTGACCTCTGCAGGCGCCAGGGATGCATGCGGTGCACAGACAGAAATCCAGGCAAAATACTCATACGTATAAAATTAAAAATAATCCTAAAAAAATCAGAAAAGATTTAAATAGCCATACAAATGTGCCTTATGCAATGTCTGCTTTTTAAAAATCAAACTCTACAAAAATATAGAAGAGGTTGATGAGAGATGATTCCTTTCAAGAAACAATGAGAAACAGCAACTTTGTTGGGAGCCTGTAGGAGTCAGCTGCTCTGAAACATCTGTAGGTCAGGTTGTGTGTTCTACCTAAAGTCTTTAAGACATACCTTCCACGCTTCTGTAGGCTCAGGCTCCACCTGCTCAGACGGCTTTTCTTCCCCCTTCACCTCAACCTTCCCAGCTTCCTTTGGCGTTTTTTTGGCAGGTGCCCCTGGTCCTTCTGTGACCTGACTCTGAGCAATGGCTGGTGCAGAGGTGGGCCGAGGACTTCGGTCTGTAGATTCAGGAGCTGCTGCTACGAGGAAAAGGAGGAAGAGATGAAGGCAAGTGTCACTCTCCAGACCTTAAAGTCACAGGGAGAAACTGTGAATCCAGAACACTCATGAATGTTGCAGTACCCTGTATCTATCATACAGAAGGCAAAACACAAACCATTAGTGCTTTTCAAGGTAGATGATGACAACAAGATAAAGGCGCCGTCAACAGAGAAACCAGGACATCTTAATGACTGTTTCATAAATGCCGAAAAAAGAAATCAAAACCCATTTAACTTATATAGTCTGTTTTGTTTTGTTTTCTAAAACAACAACAACAACAACAAAAAAAAAAAACATGCAGTAAAGGGTAGATTCAGGATGGCTTTCCCAATAAGCCTTTATTTATTTCAAAAAATAAATATCTGTTTATTTTTAGATGGCTTCAGGAATCTAATTTAGGGGGGAAATGACGCCTGCTTTCTTTTTGTTCTGTTGTTTTCTACGAGCCTATACAGAATGATTACAAAGCAGCTTGATAAATGGCTCTTCTGATAAGACAGGGACTACTAGTAGATAAGTGTGAAGGCAAATCTTTGAGTCAGACGTTCTCCTTTAATAAATCATTTGATTAACATTAATTCAAAAAATTCTGGACTTTTACCCAAAAACAAAGCATAAATTAATCGAGCCCCCTAACCACCTTACCAGCCCTGTTCTCTAAGGTACTTAGAATACTGGCTCTCAACCAGGGTTGATTTTTTCCCCACAGGGCACCTTTGACAATGTCTGGAGATCTTTTTGGAGTCATCTGGGGTGGAGAGAGAAAGGAGGTGCTGACATCTAGTGCACACAGACAGAGATAGCTGAGTCTGAGGAAGCCTAGTTAGGGGAGAAGCCTGCCTGGGCCACTTCTGAGAGAATTAACAATACTGGCTGACAGTAAAAACCTCTGCACAGAATTAACTGCTGCTTGGGTTTGAACTATTTGGCATCTGCTTTAGGTAACTTAAGTCATAACAGGGCTTGGGCTATAGCTCAGTGATAGGCTGCTTGCCTAGCATGCAGGAGACCCCCAACATCACAAAGTAAAACAAGAAATAACCATTATCTTTAGTTTTTTAAATCTTCATTCTTTTCTTTTAGTATTTAAAAGAAAATGTCCATGCATTTTTTAGTAAACCTTTGTAGTAAGTTTGTGGGGTTTTTGTTTTGTTTTGTTTTGGCTATTTATTTATTTTCAAGACAAGATTTCTCTGTGTAGCCACTGGCTGTCTTGAACTCACTTTGTAGACCAGGGTGGTCTCGAACTGACAGCAATCACCTACCTCTGCCTCTCTGAGTGCTGGGATCACAGGCCACCACCCCTGGTTTGTTTTGTTTTTGCTTTGTTTTGTTTGAATGTGATTAATCTTGTTTGTTTTTTGTTTGAGAGAGGGACTTCTCTCTATAGCTCTGGCTGTTCGGGAACTTAGTATGTAGATCAGGCTGGCCTCGAACTCTAAGAGATCTGCCTGCCTCTGTCCCCTAAATGCTGGGATTAAAGGAATGTGCCATCACACCTACCTTTAATATTTCATTTTAAATTTTTATTTAATTAAAAAGTTTTTATTTAATTTTATCATCAGTGTGTCTGTGTGCACGATGTGTGTGTGGAGGAGAGAGTCTACAGCATGTGTGTGAAGTCAGAGGATAACCCTGGGCAACTGATTCTTTTCTTCCACTTTGGAATCAGGGATTGAGCTCAAGCTGTCAGGCCTGCAAGCCAAGTGGTTTTACCCACTGAGTCACATCTCAAGGGCTCTGATTTAGTATTTCAGATAACAGACCATATCATCCTTACTTGAACTGAGACTTTTAGATTTTAATACTCTTTCATGAAAACCTCACAATTTTATTGTGTACTCTCCTTCCTCTTCAGACTACTGAAGATAATTTATTCTGATACATTTAGATTTATAAACTGTAAAAGTGAAGCAAAACAAAGGAATTTTTAAAGCCAGAACAGACTGAAAACTGGAAAGTTACACCTATCTTATACATATTACACCAAGAAAGAAATGCATATTATCCTGCAATGATCTCCAGGGAGAGATTTCTCAGAGCATGCCTAGCAAAAGAATAGAGAAATGCAGAGCCTCTTGCAATAACAGATTTGCGGCCGCTTGCAAGCCCCTGCTGCTAATGGTGCTCTCAGCTAGTCTATGCAAGAGTGGCAGACGGCAAAGCAGACCTAACAAAACAAGCAAAATGACAAAATATTTTTCTCACAGTTGTGTTAAAGCCTCACATTACATGTGTATTCACACCTCCTCTCAAAGAATTAATTCAACGCTGCCTGAAAGCAGAGAAACATAGCCCTTGCTTTCACCATGTGTTACTCTGCCACACGAATTTGGTTCTAATTTAATACTAATACTGCAGAGCCAAACAACTTATGTCTTCAGCACTCCTACTGTGCATGGGAAAGTAGATACAGATATGAAAACTGTAGACACAGAGCTGGTACTAGTTCAGAAACTGGAAAATACCAGTTATAGTGAACATCCCACACTAGGAAAAGTAACAAGAAACTGGCAAGACCCAAATCATGAACCTCATGTGTGAGCCTCAGTCACACACAGTGGTGCTGGGGAAAGAGACTTGGGTTTCCTGCGGAATGTGGACGGTACTAACTGTACGAGAGTTGGGAGAGAATACTCAACAGACAGAGGAATATCAATAACTTCTAACATCATACTTCAGTCCTTATATTTATTTTGTTATGAGCTAATATTATTTCAAGAACATGTTGGGCAAAAATTAATTGCGCACCCAGTGGCATACAATTCAACCGAAGGATACCACTCAGGAGCCCTGGAGAAAGGCAATTTTTTTCATTTTCGTAGTAAGGAGACAGAAAACTATAGATCACAATAAATATGGTAGGGTTTAATTTTTTTAAGCTTTATTGGGATGTAACTTACATATTGTACCGCTTACTCAATTAAGGTATAAGTCAATGTTTATTAGTACATTAGTGATTGATTTTTGAGATGTTTTGGCTTGGGCTGGGGAGGGGACTCAGCTGGCGATGTGCTTGTGGGCAGGTTCTCAGCACTAGCTAAGGACACATCTGTAAGCTTCACCCTGGGTGGGAGAGCAGATCCCGGGAGCTCACTGGCAAGCTAACCCAGCACACTGGTGAGCTCCAGGTTCAGCGAGTGACTGTCTCAAAACATAGGTGGAACGCAGTCAAGGGAGACACTTGATGTCAACCTCTGGCTTCCATGTGCACCCGCCTACACGAACATGTATGTACAACACATCTACTCAGCCCACGTGTGTGCACTGCTATACACTGCTATAATTTATGGCAGAGCACTTGCCTAGCACGCCTAAGTTCTGGGGCTTGATCCTTTGCACCAGGAAAAAGATAAATGATACCTGGCGTTGAGCATTATCACTTCATTTGCTAGCTATTGCAAGATTCTGGAGTCCATATAGAACACGTAACTTCAAAAAGTCAGTGGCTTCCATTTCTGAAGGTTCTGATCAAAGCGCTGGTGCTGACACTCACAGTTTCCATTTATCAGGCCACTGCTGGCTGACAAGACCAGAAACAGAATGGGATGAGGCGCCATTATTTTATAATTATGAGTATTGGTGTGTGTGTGTGTGTGTGTGTGTGTGTGTTTGGGTGTGTGGAATCCCTGGAGCTGGAGTTGCAGGCAGTTGTGAGCTGCCTGATGTGGGTGCTGGAAAATGAACGCTGATTCTCTGCAATAGCAGTGCCTGCTCTCACCCACCAAGCATCTTTCCAGCTGTAATTACATTTTCTAAGGAAAGTGATGGGCTGGGAAAATAGTTTGGTGCACAAAGGTGAAGACTTCAGCTCAAATCCCGAGAATCCACACACGCTGGAACAAGGTGTGCATCTCTCACCTTCGTGCTCCCTGGAAACAGAGACAGAATCCCTAGAAGCTCCTGTGCTAGCTAGCCTGGTGTACACAGCAACGCCTTCTGCTGCCCACATGCATGTGGTTGCTAAGCACATCCACACCTGCCCACCCCCACACATGCACATGCATGACTTGTAATAATACAAGTCAAGACAAATAAAAGGAGAGCGAACCCACTAGGGAAAGTCTTCAACGGCTTAGACCAGCGCCTCTCAGCCTGTGGGTCTCAAACCCTTTGGCAAACCTCGATTTCTGAAAATCTTTACATTATGATTCACAACAGTAGCAAAATTAAAGTTATGAAGTAGCAACAAAAATAACTTTATGGTTGGGGGTCAGCACAGCATGAGGGTCACAGTATTAGGAAGGTTGAGAACCACTGACTGAGAGTAATATCTAAAATACATACTAAGTACTTAATAAATATAAACCATTAGCAACTTTCTTTTTTTAAAGATTTATTTACTTATTATTTATACAGCGTTCTGCCTGCATGCTAGATGAGGACACCAGAGCTTACTATAGATGGTTGCGAGCCACCATGTGGTTGGCTGGGAATTGAACTGAGGATCTTTGGAAGAACAGCCTGTGCTCCTAACCTCTGAGCCATCTCTCCAGCCCCAAACTATCAGCAACTTTGATTCTTTTCCTTCTAAAAGGAGGGAAAGGAGCGAAAAGCATACCTAGGTCTAGAGGGAAGAAAGCTCAGCAGTTAAGACACTGGCTCTTGCTGAGGACCCCAGTTGCGTTCCCAGCACCCACACTGGTCAGCTCACCACTACCTGTAACTCCAGATCCAGAGGACCTAACACCATCTTATGACTCCGAGAGCACCCACATCCATGTGCACACACCCACATACAAACACACATACATGTAATTAAAAATAAAATAAAGCACTTATCTCAGAGGACAGTCCTGGCTTCTGTTTCTACTTCTAACTAGCTTTCTGACTTTGGCAAATTGCTAAGATTCTAAAATTAAGAATGATTAGGGAGTGGAGAGAAGACTCAGCAATTAGGAGCCCTGGTTGTTTTTCCAGAGAACCCAGCTTCAATTCCCAGCACCCAAATGATGGCTCACCACCGTCTATGGCTGTTATTCCAGGGGATCCGACTCCCTCATACAGACATACATGCAGGCAAAATACCAAAGCACATAAAAATTTCAAAAAATGATAAGAATGATAGCTATCAGTAGACAACTATCTGAAGAGAACAGAAAAAAAAAAAAAAAAAAAAAAAAGGTTCAATGAAAGTGCAAAGAGAAGCTGCCAGGCATGGTGGTGCACAGCCCAGCACTCAGGAGGCAGAGGTAGACAGATTTCTGATTCAAGGCCTGCTTGGTCTACAAAGCAAGTTCAAGGACATCCAGGACTACACAAAGAAATCCTGTCTCAAAAAACAAGAAAAAAAAGAAAAAGAAAAAAGCAAAAATATGAGTTGGGATGGCTTAAAACAAAATGTGTAACAGGAAAAAAATTTAAAGTTGGATCTAGTTAAATGGTTGAGCATTTGACTGCATAAAAATCTAGGCAATTAGTACATGTGACTTCTGTAAATAAAGCTTTCTAATTTGTTCACCTTACCAAAGAGCATAAACATTTGGGTTTTTAATTATGACTCTGGGAAAGCAATGGCACATCAGGCACAGTGTCCACAGAGCTCTGGAACCCCACATGGTGGCAAGGCCATGATAAGTGGTGTCAGACTTGGGGTTTTGTCCGCACTCTTTGCATGTTACTATTTGTGAGGTGTCTGACCAAGTCACAGACATCCTGAAAACAACATCCATTTTCATATATGAAAAATAGCTTTAAAAACTCCTCACACTGAAGTTCAGCTGGAGGTTAGGTGACTCATGGGATAAGGAATGAGCTACCTGGGTATCATATGAACACAGCAAAGGCATGAAGGCTGAATGACAAAACAGAACCCTTGTTTTTCTACATCCCAGACTCTTTTCTCTCTGGAGTCTTATCCTAAATGATCAAACCCAGGAGTAAAGTTTTTCTTTTCCATGCCAGTCCCAATAATTTATTAGCAATGCTTTCAGCCCTGCTTTCAAAATGAATCTCTAACTGCTTTCCACTGTCCACCTCCAGCTGTCATCATCTCACACCCTGGGTCAGCCTCCATCCTGCTTGTGGTTTAACCCAGGGCAGGGGCAGCCTTTACTGCCCAGTGGCCAGACGTAGCAACAGTCAGGGTCACCTCACTCTTCCCAATAGTTTCCAACTGTAATGAAGAGAAGCCTAACGTCCTTCCTATGGGCCTCCAGGCTCTTCCATAGTCTGGCCTCTTTGGCTGCTCTGACCACACTTTGTATTCCTCTCCCCCATGCTCACCAAAATCTACATCTGGGCTGTTCAGCCATTGTCACAGGCAGCTTGCTTAATTCTGAGTCAACATCACGACATATATTTCCATTGGCACAAAATGTTCTATGGGACAGGCAAAGCTCACTCCTCCCTTCAGGAATATGTACTGGCTACTCTTTCATCCGGAGTGTTTCATCTAGGCTTTAGGATGGCTAGCTACTTCTCACAGGTCAGGTTTTAGCCTTCTGAATTTAACTGGATCCTAATCTGAAACTGTCCCTCCATCTCCCATTCCAGGGACACTTTGCACCTCCTTCTCTCATCTTATTTTCATAGCACTCACAGAAACCTGAAGTTATTTTGTCTGTTTCTGTTTCCACCTATGGGATGAAATTCCATGAAGATGGAGGCCATGTCTGATGCCCACAGCAGTATCTCCAGGGAACAACACTAGGCACATATGAAATGCAAAACAAACAACTGAACAAAGCAAAAACTAAGTTAAATATGAGTTAATATAAATCTACTGGTATCTATACAATACTGCCCCTGAGTGAAACGTCACTTCTCATTTTCTAAAGATAGTTTTCTTAACTATGTTTTTGGGTTTTTTGTTTGTGTGTTTTTGAGACAGGGTATCACTATGTGGCCCTGGCGGCCTGGAGCTCCTGTCTAGGCCGCCACAGAGCCTAACCTGCCTCTGCCTCCCAAGTGCTGGGCATGCTAGGATTAAAAGCATGCACCCCTCTCCCAGCTTGATTTTCCTAAGTCTGAATTAGACAATAGTATCCCTTTCACTTTATCACTGAGGTTCTTCATAAATTGGGGATAGTTGGATTCTTACAAATAATCATACTTGGGTATGGTGGCATGTTTGTAAACCCAGCATTCAGGAGGTCAGAACGACACTACAGAGCTTGAGGCCAGTCTGAGACATAGTAAGCCCTTACCTCAAAACAATGGAAAACAAAACAAAACAAACAAAAACCCTTACTCTTCCTTGACCTTCCTCTAAAGACGACAATAATATTAGTAATATCTAACACAAACCTCCATCGAGGCTCCGGGATGCCCGCTTGCTTGCTGTCCGCTCAAAGTGTGGGGCAGGCCTGTCAATCAGAGCACTGGCTTGCCTGGTCTGTGCTTGAGTCCGGCCACTGTACCGAAACTTGGATCCCAGGGCAAGAAATTTGCTTTTGGGGATGGTGTCTGTAGAAGTCAGTCTGGGAGAGAAAGACCATAATAGTTGTGTTACTGTTTTATTGCAATATTTTATTATTGTGACTATAAAACTAAAAATCAAACCAAAAATAAAAACATTTCTAAATTTTTATGGTTTATTTTAATAGTTAAGAGATTTCTAGTCAAGCATTCCTTATTGTAAGTCTATGTCATATCTCAAGCAACCAGAATTAATTTAGTTGGGACTTATATTGAAAACATTGTTAAGTCTCTATAGATAAGGTTTTATGGTTTTCAAAAAGCCTGATAGCATTGCAGAATTTCTATTACATTCCTGAAATGTTTTCATTGTTTTACAGATACAGGAAGTAGAGACACCCCAAGAAGAAGTCACTTGCTTAAGGCTACAAAGCTATTAGGAGGTGGGGCAGTAGCAATCTAAGGCCAGGACAAGTTCAGCTGCTGTGGAATCGACCAGAGCCTCTAGCAAGCACCTGGTCTCCCTCCTTTCTTCTGTTGTCCCGTTACAGAGCAGGGAAAGGCAGTCTGGGAGTGCTGAGGGATGCTTTCCAACCAAAAGTGGGAGGAACTAGATTCACTGTGTCTTGATTAAGTGGCTCTCACCTGAGCTAAGTAAAATGCCAGCCCTACAGAGAAGAGATTTTCAATAGCAGGTTCAAAATAGAAACGTGCACAAATAATGTGCCTTTGAGAAATACTTGAGTGAGAACAATACCTGAAAAATGTGTGATGTTCCACACAGACTTTCCATAATTTCTTAGCTGCTCGGTAACTGGGAAGCTTGAAGCCAATGGTACTTTCATATTGTTCTTGCTGTAAAGATACAAATAAACATAAAACGTAAGTATTATTCAATTATAGTGACACAGAGCCATAGAAATATGATACCATTAAAGAAATGTTTTTAAATACAAAGAATGCCTAGGGATTGGAGAGATGGCTCAGTGGTTCCAGAGGACTGAGATTCAAATCCTAGAATCCACACGGTGGCTCAGAACCATCTGCTGCTCCATTCCTTGGGGATCCAACACCCTCTTTTCCGTGGGCACTAGGCAGGCATGTGGTGCACAGACATACATGCAGGCAAAACATCCAGACATACAATATTTTTTTAATTAACAAAAAGTTACATTATTTTTTTTTTTCTTACTAAAAGAAATCTCACGGAGGGAGGCTTTTTCCAAAGCAATAAGGCCAGGAAAATAATCCTATATTACTTATGCATCGTCTTTGTTTTCTAGAACACACATAATACATGGTATTCTTCTGAGGCATACTTTCATCAACTTTTGACTGTCTAGAAATGCTTTTCCTTAGTCACATACCTGCATTTGTAACTTTAGATTACTCAATAAGCAGAGAATGAGACATCCAGTAATTTCTCCAGCCAGTCAATATTATTATGCTTATTGCATAATTATGCATGAGAGTTAAACATTTGTCTCTAACCAGATTTCCTTCCTTCCTTCCTCTCTCTTTCTCTCTCTCTCTCTTTGTGTCTCTGTTTCTTTTTTTTCTTTCTCCTTCTCTCTTTCAGGGTCTCACTACATTACCCTGGCTAGCCTGGCTATGTAAATCACAGAGCTCTGGAATTAAAGGTGTCTGTCTCCTTGTCCAACCCATATTCTTTCATTTCTTAAAACTGGCAAGTGAAAATTACAAGTATTGACAGTGTTCACATGTTTGGTGCATGCACATATTGTAGAATAACCAAATGAAGCTAACTGGCTTTGGACTAAATCATGAGTCTGTGCGTGGTGTGTGTGTGTGTGTGTGTGCGTGTAGAATGCTTAAAAGTCAACCTCTTAAGAGATTTTTGTGGGGAAGTCAGTGCTGAGGGTTCAACCCAGGCCTGACACACACCAGCGCACCTCTCAGCCATTTTTAAGAACACATTCTTTTGTAACCTATGGTCATCACATAGTACAATAAGTCTCTGGCACTTATTTCCTTGTTCTTGAATGATTACAAGTGTTTTTTTTTTTTTTTTCCCGGTGCTGCTGGGGTTACTGAAACACATACTTTTGGTCTGGCCTCTGTTTCCACTTGAAGCAAACCTTTTAAGATGGAAAATGAAACATTTTCTCTGAGTGCTGTTATTGCCAGCAACAGTATGACTAAACACTACAATTATAATTTTACACATGAAGAAACTGAGGTCAGAGAAGTTATCTGCTCACTCAGCTACAAAATGGCACAACACTGTACTGTAGTCATAGCATGCCACTCTTCAGAATCCTGCTGTTCTCAACCAATCTGAGCAAGAATTAAGTTTTTCACTATATACTGGAAATTGAGACTTCAAAACCAAGGACGTCCCATATCATTTATTAATATTTCTGTGCATGTGCTTTTTAATGCCTTCCTGTATTAAAATGGAAACTGGTTGAAGAATGGCATCCTTTTACTTACTGTTATATTTCTAGTCCCTAGAACAGTCACTGACACAAAGAAACTGTTTAATAAACATTTCGTGGTTAGCTGGGCATGGTAGCACATGCCTTTTAATGTCAGCCCTAGCAGACAGGGCAAGCGGGTCTTTGCGAGTTCCAAGCCAGCTGGGGCTACACAGTGAAACCCTGTCTGAAAAGTTCTTTGTTCTTATGAGTCCTGGGTTTGGAACTTTGAGAGAAGATACCGACAGGCACTTGCACAGGTAAATGATTTTGGTATGCAACAGTGTTTCAAGGCACATCCAGAATTGCCAGGCTGAGGCAGCACCACTTTTCACCAGCAGATGGTGATAGACACACACAAAGCCACCTTCCATTGGCATGGGGCTTCTCTCATTCCATCTTCAAACTGACTGGGACAGAAAAGTTATTCATCTTCTTGAATGTAAGGACACCTAGCTTCCGATCTTTCCAGAGTTTCTTGTCTAGGAAGTGGCAGAGAAGAACTTAGAGCTTGTAAGAAAATGTCCCGGGCTGGAGAGAACTCAGTGGCTATAGCACACACTGCTCTTACACAGGGCCCAAGCTCGGTTCTCACCACCATGCCAGGTGGCTCACCTCCAGCTCCAGGGGTTCAGTGTCTCTTGCCTCCTGCGCACCTACACTCATGCACACATGCCCAGTCTCTCTCTCTGTCCCTCTCTCTCTCAAATAAATCTCCAGGGCAGCCAGAGCTACAACAATAACCCAGATGGCACCCAGGAGACAGAGGCAGGCACATTTCTGAGTTCAAGGCCAGCCTGGTCTACAGAGTGAGTTCTAAGACAGCCAGGGCTACACAGAGAAACTCTGTCTGGAAAAATAAAAACAAAACAAAACTTTAAAAATTAACTTATATTTAAACAATTAATTTTCTGCTGTACCATGACAGCTTTTCAAAATAAAAGCTAAAACTAGATGGGTGTATCCTGAAATTTGACCACCAATAACTAAGCTGTTTTTGTTTTGTTTTACAGTGTTAAAGACCGTTCTCATGTGGCCAGGCTTGGAAGTCCTGGTCCCCCTTTCTCCATCTCACAAGTGCTAGGATTAGCTACATGAGGACTTCTTAGATGACATAAACAGGAAAGAAGGAAGGAATGTTTCATTCATTCATTCTACAACAAGGTTTTTCTATGTAACTCAGGCTCACCCTGCTTCAGCTTTGTGGATGACCAGCACAGGGAGTGCGAGCATTTGCTACCATGCCCAGCTAGAAGGGATGTTTGCTTTGGGAGAAAAGAGACTTAAATTTGCGTACCTCTCCAGGCCGGATCTTGATGAAAAAGCTGCTACGTTTGTAAGAAATCTTTAGCACTTTGGGCCAAGGAAAGCGGTTAATTCTCAACTTATCTTTGTAAACCAAAAGGCCACTGGAGCAGACTCCTAGGATGATATCCACTCCCTCCAAGTCCTGAAAAAGAGAAGTGCCCGCATTTCACTTGAGTGAAATATTTAACACATTATTGCCTGTTTGAAGAGATCAACAAACCGCAACCAGTTACAAAGTGTACAATAAAGATAAAACTTAAAGCAGTCACCAGCCACTGGAGTGTTCTGTCTAAGTTAGGAGACAACCTTAGTAATCCTGCCAGGCAGCATGGGTAAGTTATCACTATTAGGCCAGTGAGATGGCCAAGCAGATAAAGGCATTTGCTGCCATGCCTGACAACCTGAGTTCAAGCCCCAGAATCTACAAGGTAGAGTGAAAAAACTCCCACGTTGTCCTCTGATCCTCACACACCCATTGTGACACGTACATGTTACTATTGTATAAAGTTAGCATGAGAGATCTGACAGTAAAAGAGTGATGTTAAGTATATTAACTTCTAAGCACTATTCCTAAGCCTGGAAAGGACACAATATTAATGTACCTAATTATTAAGAAAAACTGATGATATGATCATTTATCTAGTGAAGTAATCAAATCCACAGTTAAATGCTACCAAAGTTAAATGTTTCCTACTTTTTCCTAAGAATGACTATAAAGAAAATTATTACCTAAATGTGTTATATACAAGAATTACAGAGATAAATCACATTCGGCTTCAATTCAGTGACTATACAGCTGAGAGTTTACCAGGAGATACCCTCTTACACTTTTAAAGCTGACAGGTTACAACTATCCTTTTTTTTAAGTTTAAGAATTTAATTAATTAGTTAATTAATTATGGGCGGGCACACACCCGGCACAACTTAAGTTCTATGGGGTTGGAGGACAACTTGCTGGAGTTGGTTCTCTCCTTCCACCACACGGGTCTCAGAATGGAACAGCTCGCCAGGCTTGGCGCCAGATCCCTTTACCCGCTGAACCAGCTTGTGAGCTTGCTTTCTCTTTGACGACATTATTTAGAGGAACACTTCGCTTTGCAACATTTTGAAAGCACACATGCTATATGGCTGCATCCACGCCTGACGCCAGTCTCCATCAGGAAATGAGACGTAAACCTAACACACTTGTCCTGGAAGTGCTCCTGAGCTGACGCTCTGAGATCCTGACAGCGCGACACGGCTTCATGGGAGCCAGTACCCAGTGCAGAATGACCTAGAGCATAGTGATGGCTCCAGAAAGCCATGTGACTGTGCAATGAAATTTTACTAGAATGAAATTTTTACTAAATTTTAACAGAACGTAAACATAGAATCATAAGACATTCAGGGAAGGAGAATCCTAAAAATCATCCACAGGTCCAAGAGAGACCAGATGCTTGAATGTCTGTTTCTAAATTTCTACCAAGTGATTTTTTTGGGCTTAGTCTGGAATAAATAGAGTGAAAGAGCTAGTTCATTATTCTCTAAGATAAGTCTATCACATCTTTGAAGAGTTCTGCTAAACCACTTGTCACTCTGAGGTAAAATGTAGATTTTCTTGTAGTTTCCATATTGATACATTATATATAGCAAGTTTGTGGGGGGGTTTTAAAGATATATTTATTTATTCCTACAGTATTCTGCCTGCATGTGTGCTGACATGCCAGTAGAGGGCACCAGATCACATCATAGATGGTTGCAAGCCACCATGTGGGTGCTAGGAATTGAACTCAGGACCTTTGGAGAACAGCCAGTGCTCTTAACCTCTGAGTCATCTCTCCAGCCCCAAGTTTGTACTTTATTCCTGGACACCATCATTCAATCTCTTCAGTTCTGAAATTTCATTTATTTGAAACAGGGTCATATGTATCCCAGGCTGTCCTCAAATTTCCTATATAGCCAAGAAAGATACTGAACTTCTGATCCTCCTGCCTCTACTTCCCAAGGAAGGGCTTCAATCACACATGAGCAACAACACATCCAAGTTTATGTGCTGGTGATCGAACCTAGGACCTCATGCATGCTAGACAACCGCTCTACCAGCTAAGCTCTAAGTACCTCTATTTCTTTACTCCTTACTGGGTGTGGTTTTGTCTACATCACCTCTGGATCAACCCTTGAATCCTTTCTCTTGCAATCTTTGCAACACCCTTGGCCATTTTAGTAGCCACTTAGTAGACAATCAACTTGAATTACTTAGGCAGGCCTGTGATTAAAGCTTAAGCTTCTGACTCTCCTAACCCAATAGTTAGCTCTCAAAAGAGCTACGGTTCATCAAGTGTGCAACTCACTTGGACAGTTTTTCACACACACTGCTGAGCTCCTCCCCACTTAGATCCTTAACTCTGGGAGGGACCTGAAACATTTATTCCAGCAAGTTCCTATGTGGTGCTAAATGCCACTGACCCAGAGGCCACACTTAGAATCATTGGCCCTGGGGAATGGTTCTGATTCAGGCTTTGTTAGCATTATTTGGAATGGTCATTATATCTGGAGCTTCTGAGCCAGCCTATAAATCTGGGCAGAGCTCTGCAATCTGCATATTTAATAGACACCCAGGTGATTCTTAGGGGAATAACACTCCCTGTGAAACCAAAATACCCCTTGCTGCCTCACTGGATTTTCAGATGTAACTTTATTTTAGAAAATGCAAGTTATTTTCTCTAGATATTCATATTTTTACCTTTACAATGTTTTGGTTGCAAATTTTTTATGGTGAAAGTAGTAAGGGGTAATTGGATTGATATCTAGAATTCTAAAAAGAATAAAATAAAAATTATCCATTCAAGTTGGGCATGATGGCACAGGCTTTTAAACCTAGCAGAGGCAGAGGCAGAGGCAGAGTCAGGTGGATTTCTCTAAGTTCAAGACCAGCCTGGTCTACATAGCAAGTTATAGGCAGGCCAGGACTACATAGTGAGGTTCTGCCTGTAGCCCAGGCTTGTCGTGCACTCTTAACAATCTTCTTGACTCCAGAGAACTGCCTCACAGGTATGATCTACCACACCCAGCTTCCCTTCCCTTGTTCCTCTCCCACACTCCTTTGCTTCTTCTATTTCTTTCTTCGTCCTTATTTTCCCTTCTTCTCCCATTGAGAGAGTCTTGCTATGTAACCCCCAGCTAGTTTTCATTTCTTAAAATTATTTATGTCTCTGGATGTTTTGCTTGCTGTGTGTCTGTGTACCACATGCTTGCAGTGTCCAGGGAAGCCAGAAGAGGGCATCTGATCCCCTGGAGCTAGAGTGGCTGATGGTGAAAGCTGCTGTGAGAATGAAGCCCCAGTCAGTCCTCTGAGAGGCAGCCAATGTTGTTTATCACAGAACTGGCTCTACAGCTCCCAGACTAGCTTTGAACTCAAGATCCGACTGCCTCCCTTTTGTCATCTAGTGCTGAGATTACAGGCATGTTCCACCATACCAAGAACTGTTTCTCAGGAATGTTTTAAAATACCATAAATAAACTAGGCACAGTGGTGCACGCTGGTTATTCCAGCACTTCAGGAGGCAGAGGCAGCTGGATCTCTGTGTGGCCAGCCTGGTCAACAAAGTGAGTCCAGGACAACCAAGAGAAACCCTGTCTGGAAAACCCAAAAACCAAACAAAAACCAAACAAAAATGGCTAGCCTGGTCGACAGAGGGAGTTCCAGGATAGCAAGGAGCTACACAGAGAAACCCTGTCTCAAAAAACCCTAAATGAATAAATAAAATATCACAAATACTTAAATGTTGTTAAGAGGCATAAGATAAACAAGTATACCATATAAATTAACACATCTGTAACATATGCACACACATACATGTTAACAAAGACCAAAGTCATCACTACCTTTGCTTTATGAAGATCAACTCCATACATGGACAACTTTTTGGCATTCTCAAGAAATTCCAAGTCAGCCTGAGCTGGAGTCATGGACCTTTCACAGAATAAAAATAGAAAATTCAGTGCTAGAGCAGAAAAATTTATGGTAACGACTGAATATTCATCGTACTTTATATAAACACACACACACACACCAACATGTACATATATTTGAGTTCTCAAAGTAATTATAGAATGAGAATCTTCTCACTACTTGAGTCTAAATAATCGAAATAAGCCTTAGAAAATAAAATTTTAAGAAAACAAAATTTTAAGCAAACTCTTAATCAACTGTCTCCTTCAAGCTACCTCATTCGGAGTTGTGCACCCCTCTCTTTAACCTTTTTCTGTGTCACGCATGATCTCCTCCTACTAATTTTCTTGCCAAAGAGATGACCAAATTAAATCCTCAGTACAATTTACACGATCCTCTTAGCTGCCTCTTTTTCTCTATACCCTGAATTGAGTTATTATGGAAATTAAACTGGAGGGCAGCTGATGGCACTGGAGCTCTTGGTGGGGGTAGATTTGATGAAAAGAAATTTTCTGGTAACAGATGGTGTCCTGCCCACTGATCTCAGCAAATAAACTGGCTAATAGAAGCACACTAATAATGGGACTGTTTTCTGTTATTAAGATGTCTTCACTGTCAGGCATATAATGAGTCAGACTTGTTTGAAAACACTCAGTCTCACTGTCCAAACATGCACTGTGCCAATCTCTCCTTTATAACTTTCTTCTCTTTTGAAGAATGTTCTTGAGCCGTTCTGTTAGCTTTCAAGACAAAGACATCACTCATAATGCCACACAATTTGGACCAATTACGACAGTTCACAGTACCAACAAGGCAGCCAGCTCCCCAAGGAAAAGCACACAGACAAGCAACTTTCCCCTAAGACTGCCTAGAGCCATTGAAGCAGCAGGGGTCTCTTCACTTAACAAGGAAAAGTCCCTGCCAAACCCATCTGTCTTTACCCTCATTAAAAAGAATAAAGGATTTCTTGGAACAATAACCACCAAAAGGAGGAAAAAAAAAATCATGTCAGCTATACTGAATAAATGTTTCACAAGCTCTAAAGCATCACACCTGAATTTATCAATTGAAAGTGAAAACAAAGGGGTGGGATCTATATGCAAAGTCGTTCAAAACATCTCAGCAGCCCTTACAACTGCACATATCCTTCCATGTCAGTGAGATGCTCTTCGACTTGGGGTTATTTCCTGTTACTTTGTTTGTTTTGTTGTTGTTGTTCCTATTATCATATGTCAAGAAAGAGGTTCCAGATCACCAGCGGATTAAGAAATCAGAAAGAGGCAGGGGGTTCTAGTTGCATCCTGTGAACTGGAATCCTGATTCCTGCTCTTAGAGTCATGCCAACATGTTTTTCAGCCTCCTCTACAAGGTCCGAATCATAATAATGTCTGTCTGTATATCATAAGGATAATGATGATTTTTTGGTAAATACATAATATGTAATTATCAAGATCAAATTAGCTGTGAAGCTGTGATGTACACGGTAAACACTCACTGAAACTTTAGTTTCCTAACCGCTCAGTGGATCTACCTACAGATCATAAAACAAAATTACAAAAATAATCTGGAGGCACATACAGTGGCACACAGCTGTAATTCTAGCCCTTGGGGTACGGGAGCAGAAGGCCAAGGTGTTCAGGTCAGCACGGGTTATATGGGAAGCTGTCAACTCCTACCCGCACTCCAAAACTCTTCTTTTCTTAAAGAGAGAAATAGCGAGGCATGGTGGCATCCCAGCATTCAGTGAACAAAGGCAGGAGGATCTCCATGACTTCAAAGACATCCTGGTTTACTACATATTGAGTTCCAAGCCAGGCAAAGCCACACAGCGAAACTTCATCTCCAGAGAGATGAGGGTGTGGAGGGGTGGTTAGATCACTTAAATTCATACACAAATTTTAAAACATTAACTAAAACACACAACAGAAGCCTTCTCCTAGTGCTACGGAGATGACTCATTGCATGTTGTGCAAGCATGAGGCCCTGAGCTCAAATTCCCTGTAGCTAGAGTGAAGGCCAGACCTGGCAGTGTGTGCCTGTAATCCCAGTGCTGAAGAGGCAGAGAGACAGGAGGATCCCAGTCTTCCTGGCCAGTTACTGTAGCCAACCAGTGGGCTCCAGATCCAGTGAGACATCCTGACTCAAAAACTAAGGTTGAAGGAGCTGGAGAACTGGTGCAGACAAGGTTCAGTGGGTAGAAGTGTTTACTGAGCAAGCAAGAAGACCAGAGTTCAGATCATAGCGTCCATGTAAATAAAAGTAAGATGACATTCCATGCACACCTATAACCCCAGCACTGAACAGGGCGAGGCAGGAGGATTGTTGGCACTTGCTGGCTGCCAGCCCAGCTGAAAAACAACAAAAAAACATGAGCTGCACGTTCCGTGAGAGACCTACCTCAAAGAAACCAAGGGAAAGATGATGAAGGAGGGCACCAGATGCCCACACAGGGGCCCACTCATCCATTCATGCACACACACACACACACACACACAAAGGTGGAGAGTGACAGAGGAGAACATCCATGTTGCTGTCAGGCTTCCACACATGCTCACACATGCATATGTTATCTGCACACATCACGCACACATTGTACAGTTAACAATTTTTCCTATATTCATTTTTCAACCATAAGGGACATCAATTTGAATGTACATATTCAAACTACATATGTAGGTAACTGCACTTCAACACTGTGGTATGAGGAGGAGTAAAGGGATCTTTGAGGCTTCATTCTTCAAACTATTGACACTTGACATTTGATTAATGCCAGTGCTTTTAACCTCTGAGCCATCTCTCTAACCCTTAATTGCGATTCTTACATCATCTATAATGTAAACGGTTTTCCCCCAAGCCGTAGTAAATTGCCAATCTAATGACCCCAAGATTTCTTAATACTTCCTACAAATAAGGACAGCCTTCTACATAGTGTCAAAACCAGGAAATTAACACTGACACTTACTGCCACATAACCCTCAAACCCTATTGACCAAGCTCCGCCAATTGTTACAGAATGATCCAGCTGCAGAGCATGTGTCTTTAGTCTAATCCGGTAGGATTCTGACTCTTGGGCTTCGGGCCAGTGCTCCACAGTGAGCTGTATTCCCAGTCCCGGGGCCATGTGTCTTTGACAGGAATATCACAGATATGGAGCTGTGCCTGCATCCTATCCTGTGTTCATAATTTCAATTTCTCCCTTCACAGACAATGTCCACGGTATCGCCAGGTTTCTCTGAGATTCTTTGTTATCTCTTTGTAGCTATTAGGGATTTTATGGACATTCTTTTCAAGAAATTTGAGTATCCTGCCATCAAACTATTTACGTATTTATCATTGTGGATTCACAGACTCCAGGCTGGATTTCTTGTTTGCTCTGATGCTCCTCATGCTAGGCAAGTGCTGTGCCACTGAGCAACATCCCCAACCCAGACTCTTATTTTACTCAATGCAATATAATCACTTATCTTGCAAACCTACTTTCCTGCCTACATTGCCTGAGATGTGATCAGTGGGAGCGTCTACAAGGACAATCTATGTCCTTCTAAACATTTTTCATCAATTTTTTGCGCATCTCCTCCCAGCACAGTGCAGAATTAAAGTATGCCAGCATTTATGTGTGTACCTATTTACATCTGTGTCTATAACCATCTGTCTATATACTGAAATCTTGATTGTGCACTGAAACCTCCAGTTTTAATGCAATACCAACAGGCTCTTTTCTCCCTTTCCGTAATTTGTATAACCTTTACTTACAAATTATCCTAAGTATTTTACCTAATTTGATCAATCTTTCCTTTCTTTCACCCAGTATATTAACAAGCTCTCATTGCAGCCTCTGAACTCTCCCCATCAAGATACCTTCTCATCTTCTTATCCTATTTTGACTTTGAAGTCACCACTCTCCACTGCTATCCACATCCAGATGCCCTCTTTCCCTTACTGGGGTTTTGACTAGTTAAGACCATGTTAGACCACTTAGGACTCCTTCACTCTGAGCGCCCATTTAGCTGACCCCTGCATTCTGCCCAGGCCTTATCCCCACCAGGATGCCTTCCTTTTCTGCTTGGACTCTGAATCCCACTCCCCAGTGCCCATGACCTTATGGTGGTTGGAATGAGAATGGCTCCACAGGCTCATACATACTAAATGCTTAGTCAGCAGTTAGTTGGACTGTTTGGGAAGGATGAGGAGGTGTGGCCTTATTGGAGAAGGTGTGTCACTAGGAGTGAGCTTTGAGGTTTCAAAAGCCCATGCCAGTCCCCCCATCCCCTTCTGCAGATCAGCATGTAAAGCTCTCAGCTCCTTCTCCAGCACTATGTCTGCCTGCTTCCCACCATGATGATAGTAAACTAACCCTCTGAAACTGTAAGCTAGCCCCATTTAAATGCTTTCTTTTGTAAACACTAAAAATTTACTCAAATACAATGCAATATCATTATTATAATCATTAACAAATTAAAGCATATTTAGTGGTCTCAGACATTAGTATCTTAGGACACATAGGACCAAATGTAGTGAGTAAATTTTGGGAGCTAGAGAGTTAGATCAGCAGTTAAGAGTGCTTGTTGCGCTTGCAGAGGATCCGGGTTCCATTTTCACCACCAACAGTGGTTTATAACATTCTGGAACTCCACTTCAAGGTCAATCAACACCCTCTTCTGACCTCCATTGGCCCAAGTCACGCACACAGTACATACAAATACATGCAAGCAAAACATTCATACACATAAAATAAATACATCTAAAAAAACTTCTAAAAATAAACATGAAGCCATGTGCGATGGTGCATGATTATAATCCCAGCACTCTGGGAAGACAAATGGAAGGTGGATTGCTGTGAGTTTGAGGCAAGCTTGGTCTATAAAGCGAATCCAGGACAGAGAAACCCTGTCCAAAAAAAAAAAAAAAAAAAAAGACAAAAACAAAAACAAAAAAACCCTCTGATAGTTCTCATTAAACACACGGTGATCCCACAAGAGCTGGGAGACTCAAGAGAAGACTGCTACATGGATTATAGACTTTAAACACCTTATTCTTTATTACAGGTCAGGCGGGATGGCTCACTGGGTAAAGGCACTTGTCATTGGGCCTGAATACCTGAGGTTGATCTGACTCCTGCAAGCTGTCTTCCGATTTCCACACAAGCACAGTGGCATATACATACGAGTGCACACACACGCACAATCAATTAATTAAAATTCTTATTATGGTTTTCATGATTAAGGTCATGAAATAAGACCTCAGGGGCAATAAAACAGAACCAGGTAAAGGTCTCTTATTTGAAGCATCCCAGTCCATGTCATCTATTAGAACAAGCTCAAAGAGGACAGGACGACTCAATAGCCAAGCAGAATACTTGTGTCTAGCACAGTAAACTCCTGAGACTACACTTTCCATTGCTCCTTGACCAATGTAAGCTTTTAAATCTTAACCTCTGAGCTATTTCTCAAGACCCACTTTTTTTTGTTTTTGTTTTTGTTTTTTCAAGAAAGGGTATCCCTGGCTGTCCTGGACTCTCTTTTTGTAAACAAGGCTGGCCTCAAACTCACAGAGATCCACCTGCCTCTGCCTCCTGAGTACTGGGATTAAAGGCCTGCACCACTACGACTTTAAAACTGGGCTTCCAGACCCACTTTTAAATCTTTGTAATACACCTTATTCAGGATGCTATGGCAATACAATGTACACCAATGCCAGGATCGGATTAAAGCAGTTTGTGAAATTTAGCTAGAGTAAGTCATTCAAGTAAAAAATGTGTGTATGGAGGAGGAAATACAAGGGGGGGGGGGGGTCACTTTAGTATTAGATAACAATCTCTGGAATTTTACTATGTGAAAGACATAGCAGTATTGTATTTTATGTTACACACACATTTCCTTTTCTAAACTTACCCATCATCTCATTTCTTCCAATGTAATAATCTCAATCAAGGAACCAGATCAGAGAAATTTTAAGTGCATCAACTAAGATAACAGGGCCAGGACAAAACAGAGGCAACTTGCCTCAAACCAAGGATAAGACTTGCTCTTGTCCATGATGTATCACTACCCAATTTTATTTTCATAAAAAGCAGCAGAGTCCATGAATTTGATGAATACTTTGTAAAATACTTCCAAGGTACCACAGGCCCTGAATACACAGTGTGCACAGAACCCCAGTTAGAAGCTCCTGTCTAAGGATCTTAAGGCGCCTAACACAGAATGTGTTTAAAACCTGAAGTTAAAAAGTTAAGGCAATAACAGTAATAGCTACCATTATTGAGCACCTACTGTGTGCAAGGCCTTGTGATCACTGTCCTCCCCCATTTGTATTATCTCATTTAGTTTTTACCCTACAATGTGATGCCTGTTACTTTGATAACTAACAAAAACAGCAAGAAAAAATTTCAGTAAACCTGGGCACAGAAACAAAAATAAACTTCCATTATCCTGATTAAAAAAACAAACAAACAACAAACAACAAAAAACCTGAGGTTCAGAGGGCTTGAACAATTTTTCCAAAGTCAAACAATAAAGGGAAATGAATTCAGGGTGATTCTTCCTATGGCAAATACTGAATCAATAAACAAGTCAAGGGTTAAAACTCATGGCCAAAATAAATACAGAATATCTAGAGACATGTTCACCTGTATGACTTATGCAATTCCATGACCTTCTCTTCAAGTTCCTTGGTCTGATTTGGAGCCAGTTTAAAGTCACTAACATAATCAGCGCCATGGAGTTCTGGGTCATAGTCTCCCAGCTCAGACTGGATGGTGTAAGAACCCAGCAGGGCTAAGGTGGCAAAGGAACAGGGCAGCCGCCCAGCAACGATGTCCTGCCGAAGCTGAAGACACAGATAGTATCTACATCCAAAAAAGAAAAGATGTGGATGGTTTAGTAACAACAGAAGAGTATGATATCGACAGACAAAAAAGAAGAAGAGGGTGGGGTGGGAGTTGGAGGGAGGAAGAGAGAAGGAAAAGGTTAAGGAAAGATGACATGATAACAGTTCAGTAGAGGCTACTGAGTACACGACTACTTATTGTAGTATTGTTTCTTCCAAAAATATCTAAAATACTTTCATAAAACAAAAATACTGTATGTTGAACAGAGTTGGAAAGCAGCTTAGAAAAAAGAGGAAAAGCAGGAAATATCTGAAGGAGGTAAAGAAACTAGTATCTTATTGCATACCTAATACTAAGTGTGTGTGTGTGTGTGTGTGTGTGTATACATGTGCGTGTGTGTATAATTTATATATATTATATATAAACATATAATTTTTTCCATTTTTATTTTGTATGTGGGTGTTCTACCTGCGTGTATGCCTATGTACCATGTGCACGCATTGTCCATAGGGGTCAGGAGGGTGTTGGATTCCCTGGTACTGAGGTTACAAACAGTTTTGAGCTGACATGTAGTTGCTGGGAATTGAACCTGGGTCCTCTGGAAGAGTAGCCTGTACTCTTGACCACTGGGCCATTGCTCCAGCCCTTCTCTCATTTCAGAGAGATGAAAAACTGAATGCTAGAGATTGTAAATTCCTCAGAAATCAGATCATCAATAGCAAAAAGAGACTTGGGGCGCAGTTTCTTGGCAACCCATCAATTCAATTTAACGAATACTGCTGAGCATCGGCAAGGAAGAGGGCTCCTTGATGACATCACGGACGTGAAAGTGCACAGTGGCACAGTTCACCATACAGTACTTTGCCATTTTGTTTTCTGTTCATTTTTGATAAAATCAAATAAAAATTTTTCATTAAAAATTTAGTAAGTTGTTTTTATATAAGATTTGGTCAATAAATTAAATGAGCTCAAAAGACAGGTCAGTTCATACGGAAGGTTTAAAGGGAAGATAATTATGATTGGGATTTTGCTTTCTTCAACCCTCTGAGGAATACAGGACAGTCTGGTCTTGCCCTCGGAGGGTGGTTTAAGAGAAGACCCGCCCACTATGTGATGTACTCAGGGCTGGCCACTGTCACCTTCAAGCTTTTAGGCTCACTGAAGTTTTTGCAAGCCTGCTTTGAAGAGACCAGAAACTTTGTATTTTAGACTAACCACTTAATGTTTTTCTTCTGTCCTGAGTGGGAAAATTCCCAGAACTTACAACAAGAATTACAGTTATTTATTTAACTGCTGACCAAGTATTTACCTTGTTATGTCTTCTGTTAATTGTGCTGGGTCAGGTGGATAAAACTTCACATTAAATGTGAAATTCCAAGGAACACCTATAAAAATAAACACAGGAATTTTGTTTTTATGTCTAAATTTCTGATTGGAAATACTCAGTTTTCTTTCTTTCTTTCTTTTTTTCTCTTAAATCTTTCTACATATTCATTTTTGTGTTAAAAAAGTCTAAGTAGCACCTCGGAAAGCTAGAAGGCCTCACTTTTTGTTCAGCCTCAGCACAGTCTTCACTGTCATGGATCAGAACCACACAGGCAAAAGCAGAAGCAGGAATAACCCCGCAGGCTGACCTGTTCAGAGCTTGTTTCAGAACTGTGATTTATATTCTGCTCAGAGACATCAGAGGTCAATGGGCACTCTTTTGCAATTTTGACAATATTTATATGTGATTTGTCAACATTATCTGAAGTAAACAAAGGCTCATTTGAACATATGTACACACAATTGAATGGATGTAAAAGAAACAAATTTAAGATAAAATAAGTTCAGCAAAATAATATTGTTTGAGGAAGCTGGGTAAAAACTGCCTATGTATTTTTATACTATTCCCATTTAACTTTTCCAAAAGTCTGAAATTATGCTTAGCATTTTTATTACTAGCTTTAAGGATTTATTTTCCTGTGTATGTATGTGTGCACACACATGTACACAGCTGCTCACAGAGGCCAGAAGAGGTTAGTGGACCCCATGAAGCTACCTTACAGGTGGCTGTGAGCTGCTGGGCATGGGTGCTATCCGAACCAAAGTTAGGTCCTCTGAAAGAGCAGCACGTGCCTTCAACTGCTGAGCCATCTCCCCAGCCCCTTAGTTAATGACTTTTAAGCATGCCTTTCTGGGGTTGAAAGGATGGCTTAGCAAGGATGAGGTGGTAAATTTAAATCTCCAGAACCCATGCGAAAAAGCTGGTCCTGGTAGTGTGTGCCCATAACCCCAGCACTGGGGGAGGGGGGGGGGGAGAAATCCCTGGAGCTTGCTGGCCACCAGCCTAGTCACAGCTTCAGGAAGAGACTGAGCAAGACGGAGAGTCACAGAGCAAGACCCAGAATTTTTCTCTGGCCTTTGCGAGCAAGCGCCACCCCCAGCATACACGTGCATGTGTACCACACACACACACAAGAGTAAACTTTAAAATGCCTTTCTTCTGAGTGGTTGCCACTCATTTAAATAGTCACTATGCCAGGATCTTGCAAAGGTGAAAAGAGACAACTCATATTCTACTTCCAAATATTCTACTAAACGTTATTTCCAGGCATACATCCTAAATAAGGATTTTGGTTTATTTTAACTATAGGTTACAATCCATTGTAAACCATTTTGGTGGAGGAAATATCAGCACTTAAAAATATGAAACATGTAAAAGAAAACATCAGGCTGCCACTCACAGGAAGGATTAGGAATTGTTTGCTGAAATTTTCTTTCTGGTCAGAGTAAGTTTCAAAAATGATATTGAGTAAGAAAAGTTACATAACTTATATAACATTCAAAGGATTTCAATATAGCCATATTTTTAAATAATTAAAACCCAGAAGTAGCTGGATGCAGTGGTGCACACCTATAATCCCAGCATTCAGAAAGGCAGAGGCAGGTGGATCTCTGTGAGTTCGAGGCCAGCCTGGTCTACAAAGCAAGTCCAGGACAGCCAGGGCTACACAGAGAGACCTTGTCTCAAAGAAAACAAACAACAAAACACAGAAGGAACCTGGCAGTGGTAGTGCACACCTTTAATCCCGGCACTCTGGGAGGCAGAGGTGGGTGGATCTCTGAGTTTGAGGCTAACCTGGTCTACAAAGTGAGTCCAGAACAGCCAGGGCTATAGGTGTGAGACACCACACCTGGCTACTTTATCCTACTTTCAACAATCTGGGTTGGAGATAGTTCAGTTGTTAAAGCAGTTCCTTCTAAGCATGAAAACCTTGACTTGCTTGTAAAGAGCCACTACAGGAAAAGGCCGAGTATGGCGGCACGCTTCTGTAATCCTAGTGCTGGGGAGATGGAGACAGCAGATTCCTGAAACTCACTGGCCAGCAAGCTTCAGGAATTCCAAAAAACAAGGTGTACGGTGCCCAAGGAATGGGACCCAAGGTTTCCCTCTGTCCTCCATACACAGGCACATACCTATACACAATCACTCACTTACATACACATATCAAAATAATGTATTTATAGACACTTAGCAAGTACAGAGATATATTCACAAATGCAAACATGAATGTAGTAGGAAACTAAGAGTAACTCAAAACACACAGAAATACGATTGCTTATATATATATTCACATACATAGTATATGTGAAATTTTTTAAAAAGTCAATGAAATATAGATAGATGGATGAATGGATGGATAAATGATAGACAGAGAGATCAACAGATTACAGACATGGATAGACGGATGAATGGATAGACAGATGGATGGACAGAAGGATGGATAGAGGCAGGCAAAAGATACAGTCGGTGCTCTGATATATAAAAACGATGAATTGCATATTTAAATAGACACAGCCATGGTTATGTGTTTATACTCAGACTTGTCTAGAAGTAAGACAAGAAATTAGTTACCATGGTTGCTTCCAGAAAAAGAAACTGCATGACTAAGACAAGGGTAGGAAGAGTCACCTTGTGCTATTTTCATTTGCACCTTTTAATTTCATACCATACATCTGTAGTATCTATTTTTAAAACTGGATTTAAAAAATGTATAGCATAACTGCTTTTAGTTTGTTTGATTTGAGACAGGACACAGTAACTGAAATGCAGGATGTGGGGTTTCATATATGTACCCTCCTGCATACATTTTGAAAATTTGTACCTGCCTAGAAATATCTTGCATATTATACCAGTTTAATTGATTTAATGATGTTTAAATTTTTCACGGGGCTACAAAAACAGTTGAGCATGTAAAAGTGTTTGCAGCGCAAGCCCGGCTACCTGACTCCGACCCCTGGAAGCCGCTGGCTCTACAAAGCTGTTCTCTGCCTCTGTATGCATGCACACATGCACACACATATACAATACAATAACTTTTAAACCAAATTCAAACTTTTAAAATAAATGAAACTACCACGAGCATACACCAATATATGATGAAAAAGTTTAAAAAGAAAACAACTTTTAACACATAAAGATCACTTCCTGACATTATATATTTGATTCACTAGAAAGTTTTTCATTAGGAACATGCATTTTTCTCCCATGCTGTATGAAAGTTTTCTTCATCATCATCATCGGTTTTTCAAGACAGGGCTTCTCTGTGTAGCCTTGGCTGTCCTGGACTTACTTTGTAGACCTTCATAGAGATGCACCTGCCTCTGCCTCCTGAGTACTGGGATTAAAGGTGTGTGCCACCATGCCCAGCTTCATCATCACTATTATTTATTTAATAGACTCTTGCTATGTAGACTTGTAGCTTGCTTAAGCTAGTGAGCCCTGTCTTAAAATAATAGAAACAAAATAGTAATTATAAAATAATAAACTTAAGCTTTTATCAGTAAAGAACAAATGTAGAAAGGTGCAGTCCAAAAGAAAGTTTTGCTTCTCTATTTTAAGAATGCTAAAACAAAAGCAAAAGAAAAGAATGCCAAAACAGTCATATACAAGGTTTAAAGAAAAACATTTCATGATAACAGAAATGTTTCAAGAAACAAGTGAATGATTCTGGTTGGATGACAATTAAAATCTGCTAATCAGGATGAGTAAAAGGCACTGTATTTCCTGGAAGTTTCTTCAAAAATAAATGAAATTAAGGTGATAGCTAGCTGGCTTTAATCAAGACAAGCTATCTTAATAAGCCCATTGAGTCGGGGGCTGGAAAATATAGCCTACACATTTTTCGTCCTAGAATAGCAGTCTTAGCAGGGCATGCAACAGTAAGATATGTTGGATCTGGAAAAGAAGCCCCATTGCCAGAAGGCCAGTGGCAAACAAGTCTTCCTTCATTTTTTTCTTCCTTATATTTGCAAAAGGTCTGCAGACAAATAAAACCCTCCCTCATCTCAGGGTATGTGCTCCAGAACCGTCGCAGATGCCTGAACTCTAGAAGAGTATTGAACCCTATAACTATTTCCCTCCTATATATACATATTTCTCACAAAGTTGAGAACTCACCTTTTCACCTAAAGGACATACTTGGTAACATCTCTTTGGCCTAACTAAATTGATGTTGACCTAACAAACATCACTACTCTTGCATTTTGCAGCCGTTATTAAGTAAAGAAAGGTTTACTTAATGCAAGCCTGTGCTAGTCTATCTGATAACCAAGCGGTGTAGGTGCAGAGCAGAGAGTGTGTGTGTGCTGGACAAAGGGTGACTCATGGCCTAGACATGGTGGTGCAGGGCCACACAAGGTTTCATTGCCACCCAGAAAAGCACAGAACTTAGAGGTTTCCAGACCATAGTTAAATGAAACTGCAAAAAAGGAGAAGCTACTGCACAGAGAGGAAAACATGGAGAAAGCTAGAACACAGGAATGCCATTGTAGCTCATGTGTAAGGCCGAGTTCAATCCCTAACACCAAAAAGAGACAGGAAAAAAGAAAAACAGAGAGGCAAAAAGAACACAAGAGTCTAGAACACTAAAAGGAACGAGATCCAGCAGCAACCTCCTGCTGGTGGTTAGTGCAGTTTCTGTCCCTGCCATTTTGAGAACTGACTCATTTTCATTTTCTTATCTTTGTTACGTTCCAACCTTCTGTTACACCCACCTGTTCCAACTTTGCCCAGTTGGTTTTTGTTTTGTCTTGTTTTTTAAAGTCCAAATCTGACCTACATCTCAACAGTATCATCCTCGACTGTATTTTCTACTATGGAACCGGCCCTTCCAGGGAAAAGCTTTATCTCTATTTCAAAGTAGCCTGCAACAGTCAGGACTCTCAAGTGACTGACTCACAGCCAGTGATGGCTGGAGATCCTCTGGCTCGATTAAAAAGAGAGAACTATGAAAGGGCTGTATCCACTTACCTCGGACCTGTTTTTTTATTTCTTTGGCAGAATCCAGCCATGTCTGTAAAAAGAAGAAAAGGCATTCACACAGAGCTGCAGGACACACACACAATTCAGCATTGGAAGCAGTTCCCTGGACACTGTGGAAAAATGCCTCCGGATGATCCTACATTTCCCTTGGAAGCCTTTGCATTAATTTTACAGAGCACAGTGGTTTCTCAGCAGCAAAAAAGGAAGCCAGAGTTGGTTTGAATCCATCCTCCAGTTTGTCCTGGCTGAGTAACTCTCTGTACCTAAATTCTCTCATCTCAGCTGGGTGCGGTAGCCCATGCCTGTAATCCCAGCACTCAGGGTGGCAGAGGCAGGTGTATCTCTGTGGGTTCGAGACCAGCCTGGTCTACAAATCAAATCCAGGACAGCCAAGGCTACACAGAAAAACCCTGTCTCAAAAAACCAAAAAGCAAACAAACAAACAAACAAACAAAAAAAAAACCTACTTTCCTAAGTTCTCTCATGTCTAAAATGTGAACTTTGGTGTAGAATCCATCTTACAGAGCTGCTCCTGTAGCTAAGTCTGCTTGTAAACAGCAAGAGTGAAATAAGCGGGTGCTATTTAAAGCATATGGGAAAGATTAGTGCTAGAACTGGGAACGACTGACAACATCCAAATCTTATTTTCTCCTCTAGCCTCTGGTCTTGCTCAGATTTTGTGTGCAACACAGCCTCTGCTACCTGGTTCATTACCCAGTTAATGTTTTCTGAATGAATATATGCTGGCCCCCAATCTCTCCCTTCTATGCTCTTCCACCCACTTAGGAGTCTACACATCACTAGAGAAGGCCTCTTCAACCTAATGACCCCTGCAACACAATGATAGTTTAAAAAGCCTCACTATTAACAATCCTTAACAGGCCTCTAAGACATGTTAAAAGACAAAAACTGCTAAGTTTCTAATACTTAAAACAGCTTTTTGTTTCTTTCGTTTTGAGATAGGGCTTTCATTATGTAATATTAGATGGTCTAGAATTCTGTATGTAGACAAGGCTAGCCTTGAACTCACAGGGATCTATCTGCCTCTGTCTCCCAAGGGCTGGAATTAAGGCATGTACCACCATGGTCAGCTATTTACAACATTAGATTTTTTTCCTTTATTTTTTTCCAACAACAATTAGATTTTAAACTATATTAAACATTAAAACTACAAGATACACACACATTTTGAGTGAAACTCAGTGGTAGAATATTTACACGTGCAAGGTTCCCAGGCTTAATCCTGAACACACACACAGACAAACATACACACCCCACACATATACTCATATGCACTCACACAGATACACACACACATACACCATGCATATACACACACTCATATAAAAATTAAGTACATGCTTGTTTGAGCTTTGTCATAAAGGAAGTATCTGAGTGTGTCTCCTTTGCTTCTCGCAAATGCTAAGTCCAGTGGGAACTCTGAAAACCCTTGGCTTAAACGCAACCCAAAGTGCTCATTAACTTTCTATCACGTTGAAGAGGGCGTCTGCCCCCCAGCAGAGCACTCCACATTCTCCACTGTTCTAAGAGACTTTCCAGCGCTTCATTCCAGAGATCCCATGAGCAATTCTAAGACTCTGGGGCTAAAATCCCCACCAAGCTGACACTGAAAAGGCAAATCCAGATTTGTGTCATTCACAGGGAGCGTCAAAGTCTAAGCTATCTTACAAAACCAGTTATTGCCTAGGATGTGAGATGGCTAAGCAGGTAAAAGAACCCACTGCCAAGCTGCATCTAATCCCCTTGTGGTAGAAGAAAACCAACTCCCAAAAGTTGCTCTGTGACCTCCATACATGTGCCATCCCTAACCCCAAATCCCCACACACAAAATAAATTAATGCAGTTTATAATTTCTTGAACAAGATCAGAGGCCGAGGTTAAAAACAGATCAAAAGCAAAAGCAAAACCTCCTAGTAATAATAAAATCAGTATGTGGACTTCTTTGCTTAATTTAAAAGATTCGATTCTCTGTATTTTATTTAGCCAACAAATGTTTGAAGGATAATTCCTTGTGAATGACATCACGGTTCTGACAAAAAGGCTAAAATCTCACATAAGGGGCAGTCACTAATGAGAGAGATGAGTGGTGAGCAACAATTTGCTCGCCCTGGGTGTGACGACAGCAGTGCTATGCTGAAGCTCAGAGCACGGATCCCAAGGATCTCGTGATGATAAAAAGAACACTTTAGTAATGCTCTCTCTCTCTCTTTAAAGTGAATTCCACAAGGAGAAATCTGAGAATAAGAGACTACATGCAAAGGTGTCCTAGAGAGGCAGGCATAAGCACTGTTACCAACATGGGAAGGGAATTTGTCAGCGGCTTACCCTGAGCAGTGGGTCTCCTTACCTTAGAGGTTGCGCTGTCCCACACAGCTAAACCAAAGTAGTCCTCCTCCAACAGGTTGAGGTGCTCGCACACGCGCTTAAGCAAGTCTTGTCCCTTGGCATGTTTCTGTGCAGATACACAAGTGCTAGTTAAGGGTTCTTATCCTTATATTCACCCAATTTTTCAAAAATCCTTATTTCCCAATTTCCTTTTTTTACCTTTGGTAACTAATATATTCTCAGGTGGCTACAGTCCAAATAGAACATGATTTCTAAAATCCCTCTTCCTTGATATGTCAGTTTATGAACGCAACATATTACAGCACTTTGGAAATAGAGACAATGTTAAGTAAAATCCTACCTCCCCTCTTTCTCCATCGCTATCCAAAACATCACAACCCCAAACCAGGGTCTCACTATGTGATCCTCCTGCCTCTGATTCTTAAGTGCTAGGACTAGAGGCATGCATTGCCGTATCCACCTAAGCACATTCATTTATTCATATTCTCATATTCACGATCTACCCCTGTCTCTCATAATTTTTTGTACAGTATTTCCTGAACCATGCTATGGGTCACTACCAGTTACCATGATCAACTAAATTACCGACTCAACCTGTCAAAACAGATTAACTGTGGCTGTGGAAATCATTTTCAAAATACATATCAATGAGAATAAGCTATATCTAAACTTCCTACAATCTCCTTCTGAGAAGTAGGAGATAGACAGCCTATAGACACTAGCTGTTATAGCTATTCATAACGTTACAAATCATTTCTTCACAATTCAAGCCACTTCTACAGTGGGATACTTGGAGTCTTAACTAGAAGAAAGAATGCCCTAATTTACAGGCTGTGAATTAAAGTTAAAACAACAGCCTGGTTCCTCTATTTAACAGCTAATCAACTGTGTCATTGCAATTAACAATAGCTTATTCAACTGTAAAATAAAAAATTTTATAGCAGCTTACTGAAAAAACAAAACAAAACCAGAAACATGTTAATGCCTCAGGAGACATTTATACAAAAATACTTCAAAAATTCCAAATCTTTCTTTTCCTGTACTAGGTACTGAATCCAGAGCTGTGTGTGTGTGTGTGTGTGTGTGTGTGTGTGTGTGTGTGTGGTGTTACGAACATACACTATTTCTGAGCTATGCCCTAGCTGTACAGAGCTTTTTAATACACACACTTGACACAGCCTCCTCTTAATGAATTAAACGACTACTAGTAATTTGCATAATTGTTTATTCATTTATGTAACATCATTTTCTTCACCTCTTGTTTTCTGATTTCATTTTTTTTTAGATTTATTTATTTTATGTTTGAGTGTTTTATCTGCATTTACAGCTGCAGGCCAGAAGAGGGCATCAGTTCACATTGTAGATGGCTGTGAGCCACCATGTGATCACTGGGAATTGAACTCAGGACCTTGGGAAGAGCAGACAGTGCTCTTAACCACTGAACCACCTCTCCAGACCCTCTAATGTCATTCTAAATGAGGATCACTAATTTGATAATTCAGATAAAATTCCCTAACCCTTTTATTCATAATTCCCAAATCCAGAAGTTCTAAAATTCCAAAAATTTATCACTAAAGCTCATTTGTCGAAAATTTCTGGCTATTTGTAACCTTCGTTTATCTATCTTAGAACAAATTTTTATTTTTATTTTTTTTGCCACAGAAATAACATGTTTGAGTCAGGCATGGTGGCACATGCCTATAATCCTTGCACTTGGGTGACAAAGCAGGAGATCCAGGAGTTAGGAGTTCAAGATCATCCTAGGCTATATAACAAGTTAAGGACCAGCCTTAGCTGCATGAGGTCCCGTCTCAACAACACAATTACAAAATTAAAAACAATATATATTCTCTATATAATATTTTAGGATGTCTGTGGTTGGATAGATTTACATTCACACAAAACATGAACCACATGGCTTATTCATAAAGGCTGTCGTGCTTGCAAGAACTGCACATACAGCAACCACAAGCATCATTGGCAACTACTGTTCTAATTAAAGCAACAGTTACCAGATGTTTTAGCTTGTCCTGAAGGAACAGAGAAGCTAAGTAACTGACGTTTATTCAATCCTGATTCTTTCACAAATATTAAGAGATTTTGAGAAGTGGCATTATATTTCAGCCTCCTTCCAACTGGAAAAAAAAGGCATTGTCTAATTTGTACTTCTATATTCTATCTCAAGGGACTAAAGACATCAGATAAAATGAGTGACTGAGGCTTAGATCTGGGGGAACAGAAATGTTAGAAACAGAATGTGTGTGTGTGTGTGTGTGTGTGTGTGTCCCCACAGGAATCTGTGTGCACCACCTGTTTGCAGGAGACTATAAGAGGGTGTCTAATCCCCTGGAACAGGAGTTACAGACAGTTGTGGGCCACCATGCCTGTACTTGGAACCAAACTCAGTCCTCTGCAAGAGCAGCCAAGGCTCTGAGCCATCTCTCCAGCCTCATAACTTCATTTTAAATTAATTATTCATACACTGAGCACAGGCCTATAAACCCAGCACTCAAGGAGGCAGAGGCAGGTGGATCTCTGTGATTTCGAGGCCAGCCTGGTCTACAAAGTGAGTCCAGGATAGCCAAGGCTACACAGAAAAATCCTGTCTCGAAAAACCAACGACCGCCCCCCAAATAACAGAAAAATTAATTATTCATTTGATATCTATGTGTGTATATATTTGTGTGTACACATACCATGCATGTGAGTGTGTAAGGTGCACCACATGCTTGTGGCTCAGAGAACAACCTCAAGTCTCAGTCCCTCGTCTTGCACCTTACTTGAAAGTCTCTCATTTTGCCACTGCCTGTGCCAGCCCACCTGCCCGCAAACCTGACGAACTCTCTTGTCTCTGCACCTCCCTCCCCACAGGACAGGATTACAGATGCTAATGCAGCCAGTTTTGTGTGGGTTCCGGGGATTTGAACTCATGGCTCTGTATATATATATATAATTAAGATATATAATCTTAATATATATATATATTAATACATATATATATTATCTTTTGAAAAGCAAAATTATTTTTATTGTAAGACTTATTTTCCCATCACTTCATTTCCAGAAAGGTACTTTTAACATTTCCATCCACAGAACGGATCTGGTCTTTAGCGCCTATAAGAGCTCCGACTTCTGGGATTGAAACGCACTCACCTCCACAACACACTCATAAACCGTGTCGTCCAGCAAGGACACCTTGCAGTGCATGTTTCCGTGTCTTCTAGCCGGCTTCTGGGGGACCTCGGGTTCTCTTTCTGCTCTTGATGCGGGGTCCTCTCTCGCCTCTGCTCCAGAGCACCCTTCAATCCCTTCTGCTTCCTTTGTTTCAGAATCTGGGTCCTCTCTGTGTTCTTCCTGAGCTGGCTGCACATCCATGACACCAGTCAGTGAAAAGGCATTTACAAAACAAGCCACACACACTCCTATGTACAGGAAATAGGACAGTACCCTGACCGATAAAGATACGATCAGAAAAAAAACTATTAAAACACAGTAAGTTAAATTATAGTAACTAGTTAATTTTTTCCTAAACAGTACTAGGCTTTCCCCAAAGATGTTCAACTTCACTACTGTTAATTTTTTTCAGGTAGAACCCTATCAAATTGATAAGCAACTGTGGGGAGCCAATTTCCTGCTGTCGGCATTTTAGAATTTATTCTTCTCGACTGTAACCGATGCTAATGCTCATCAAAGTCTTCTTCTCTAGTCCATGATCATCAGCTTGAGCAATGCCGTTTTGTGAACTGAAAATAAAAGGATTTGTCACAGGCTTTACATTTTGTAAACAGCTAAAAGAAGTTCTTGAGGCCTACACATCTTGTACAAATCTGCATTAAGCAAATGAAGGTACCAGGCTAAAAACTGTAACTCCGCCTTAACGCCTCTCTACTTTGCTACATCCAAAAAAGGCTGAGGGAAGGAAGAGAAAGACTGAAGCTGGCCTCTTCTGGCAACCATTAAGTCCCAATGCAACACACAAAGTCAGAAAATATTTGGACAAATGTTTTCCTATTGGTTTCGTTGTTGTTATTTATTTTGTTTTGTTTTGTTTTTTGTTTTTTTTTTTGTTTTTTTGGGTTTTTTTTTGTTTTGTTTTTTAAAGATGGCTAAGTAGCCTCAAACTTGTAGCTCTCTTGCCTCAGTCTACTGAGTGCTAGGATTAGGGGGCCACACTGGACTAGTTTCTTGCTTTTGACACAATAAATCTATTGAGAGATTTAACTAAATTCTATGAATTTTTTTCTTCCAAAACAAAACAAAAAAAAATGATTGACATTTATTAAAAAAAAAAAAAAAAAAAAAAAAAAGATTGAATTGCTTGCCTGCTGTATGAGATTCAGGAGTGGCTAACAGACTTGTAATGACCTCCCCAACCATCTCATACACAGCCTCAGAGAGGCTTTCATGAGCTACCATATTTGTCCTGTCCCACAGGACTATTTCTTCTGTCAACACCCAGTTGGTTGCTCCTTCCACCTACATGTGGGTGGTTATCAGGCTTAGAGCAGCAAGGACTTTCCCCTCTGAGCCATCTTGCTGGCCTGACATTTATAGCTTTTAATTTATCAAAGTACCTCTATCCTAGATAGAACCTGGCTTATACAGCAGGTTTTCAATAATCATATTTTAATGAAAAAGTAAGTAAGAAATCAAGTGCTGGGCATAGGTGTACCCCTTAATTCTAGAGGCAGGCAGATCTCTGTGAGTTGGAGGCCAGCCTTGTCTATACAGCAAGTTCTAGGACAGCCAGGGCTATATTGCATGACCTTCTCTCAGAATAAAATAACAACAATAGTAGTAGTAATAATAAACACACAAACAAACAAAGCCTAAGAGATGGGACTAGGGAGATGGATCAGCCAGTTAAGTGTTTGCCACGAAAGCATAAGGGCCTGTCACTTTCCTGAGATCTGCCGTCCCTAGATTGATTCCATAGACCTCGTTCATAACTATTACATAGTGAATCTTGTTTTCTGTTTGTGTGTGTTGTGTATGTGTGAGGAGTTGGCTTCTGACACTGACCTTAGAGGCAAGGTCTCTCTTGTCTCCGCCACTGCACTATTTCCTCTAAGCTAACTGACCACAAGCTTCCGGGTGAGTTTCCTGTCGCCACTTCCCATCTTGCAAGGAATGCTGAGATTACGGCTTTGTGCTTCCACACTGGGCCTTTCATGGAGGCTTTAGGGATTTACTTCAGATCACCAGGCTTCTGCAGCAAGTCTTTTTACCACTGAGTCATCTGTCCACCCTACATCTTGTTTTCAACATTGTTTCTCTAACAGCAAGTGCCTATCATGACTTCATCCTAAAGTCGGCCTTTGCTACTCTGAATACACAAGTTAAGAAGCTTGTTAATAAGAAATACACGTAATAATTTTAGAAAGGTCCAATGAAACTATATACCCCAGACTTTAGAACTTTCACAGAAGTACACACAGGACTTAAACTTTTATAATCTAGATGTTCAAAGCTTCGAAGTGAAATTTTGAAAACAACTCTTACTTTTCAAGCACTAGGGCTGGAAAGAAGTCAGATTCCTGGAAAGCAGTTTGAGTTACACTACTAGTGATTTCCCATGTGTTTAGGACTAAGGGACAACTTGTGTTAATTATACTGTGACAAAGTTAAAGCCCAGAAGGGACCAATGAGATGGCTCATCAGGTAGTGGCACTTACTGCCAGGCCTGGTTACTGAATTTGATTCCTGAAGCCACATGGTGGGGAAAGAGAACCGATTCCCTAGACTGTTCTCCGGTCTCCACATGCGCACCGTGATGCATGCACACGTGTGTGTGTGTACCCAGATGCACACAAATAAATAAATGTAACAAAAATAAAACTGTTACATAAGGAATCGAATTCATTGTTATCTACATCTTGCAGGAACGTGCTCCCCAGAGGATAGTAAGACAGGCACGGCTCCGATCTCTCACATACCCTGGGAGGACTGAATCCATCACATGGATTAATGAAGATGTCCATAGAAGGGCCAAGCTGGCTGATAACAATCCTATCCCTATTCCACCAATATGAACTCTAAATAGCTCACTTCTTTCTTGCTCTCTCAATAAAATTCAAATTTGTTCCGTTGTTACGGCAAGATGATATATGGACTAAGTAAACTCATTTGATAGTTTCCTTCCATTTCTTTGGTTTATAGAGTATAGTTCTTAAGTTAGGTTTTAAGTGATTACATTAATTTCTTTAGAGCAGAGACTCTTAATGTTATTTATCATTATCAATGCCTAAGTCAACTGGCTCTTAAGAAATAAATCCAAATATTCTTCTATGAAAAAGCACAACATATAATGTATCTTTATTATTTTCTCCCCCACAGTCACACGCCTTACCTGTGTTTCTATACTGCTTAATGAATGAAGATCTAAAGATGGGTCTGTTTTGAGCTCAGGCTCAGGAGCTGCAATGGGGGCCTTTAAAATGATGTCTTCATCAAGGCTGGTTCCAAGATCTACCTCCTTCTGACCTCCTTCGCCTTTTTCTTTATCTGACTCTACTTCCTTGCCTTCTTCTTCAGAGACCTGAGACTTGGGCCTTTTGAGGAATGAGGAGAGCAATCGTGACAGGCCTCTGCCTTCTGACGTCCGCTCCCTGTTCTTGGTCAAGTCTTCATGTGTTGGAGTGTCCCCATTGGATGCTTTCAGCTTCTGCTCACACTGAGTACCGCCCTCAGCTGCCACTTGGGAAGCCTCTTCCAGCTGCGTTTCCTGTTGGCCTGAGTTTGTGGCTCCTTCCCCTTCTTCCTTCGGTTGTTGGTGCTGAGAATTCTCAGCTTCAACCAGTAAACTCTTCTCTGTTGTCATGATGTTCCTGACAAGGAAGTCGAAAAGGGGAACCATTATAAGCAAAATACATCGCTGCAGGCCAAACCCCTAAACTTCAAAACACTAATACATATGGATTGAATCACCAACAAAATTCCAGTCCATTAAACAGATGATCTTTCATTAAAGCACAAAAACATCTTACCTATACATCCTGAATAAATTATTAATGCCTTAAGTCATGAAAGATACGCACATTGAGTGACTAGCTTAAAATAATACCCACCAAGGCCATGTAATGAACTACACCATAATTAAATTAAAGGCTCCAAACTTTACATAGCAAACACACCTTCATGCTTCCTAAAACAAAGGAATCTGGTACTGTCCTTTCAAGGCATCAATCAAAAATGCTAGATTTGCAGAAGTCCATACCGTACAGATTATTAAACTTAAAAGTTCTGAAAATCTCTTTTGTTTTTCTTCCTTTTGTTTCTTAGCATGAAGACTTCTTCATTAGGAAGAACCAGCACAGAACTCTGATCATTTGCTATCAAAGTTAACAAAAGCCAGGACAAGTATACATTTAAAATAATCACACAAAAGATGTCCTTAGGTTTCATGATGTAATACCAAAGTACATCCTCTTTCAGAGGCATCCCATTTTAAGTTCTTCAAAACAATTTTTCTTCTGAAAACTGTGATTTTGAGTGCTCCGCATTTTTGAAAGTAGGAAGTGAAACCATTATGGTAGGCATGGAAACCAGAGAAATGCTGTAAGGAAAGCCAGTGCTGACTCACGTTAGGGGAGAAGGTAGGCTACAAGCCTCACATATTGGGAACTTGAGGTCGAAGTTCCGGTCTTATTATTCAAGCCTCGGGGTTAAGGGCATCATCCCTACCGCTTTGGTTCAGATGCCATGACTTGTAGAGGGGCCTCCCAAGCACTCCAACTATAGCAGCGGCCCTGCTCCCACAGACGCCCTCTCAGCCCTACAACACTTACGGCCTTGTTGGCTTAACTTGTTTGTCGCCCTTCTTCCATACCCCTCTCCCCATCTAAAATACAAAGTTTTCTGAGGATAAGACCTTGAGGCTTTTTTAGAAGATTCATTTTATTTTTAATCTATGTATGTGTCAGTATATTATGTGCGAACAGGTGCCTGAAGAGGCCAGGGAGGGTATCAGATCCCCTGGAGTCACAGGCAGTTGTAAGCTCCAATCCCCTGGCCCCAGTGTGGGTGCTAGGGATCTAACTTGGGTGCTCTGTAAGCAAATCAAGAAGTCTTAACACTGAGCCAACTATCCAGCCGGAGCATACCAACGCCTAGAAAAGAGCCTGCATGTAACAGATACTACCTGTGTATGTGTGTGTGTGTTCTACAGGTGTAGGTGTGTCCTACAGGTGTAGGTGTGGACGTATATAGGAGATGCCAGAAGTCAACTCTGGGTGTCTTCCTTAATCATGCTCCACTTTACAGACAGGCTTTCTCACTGGACCTGGAGTTGGCTAAGCTGTTCATTGAGTTCCAGGGATCTAACTCTGCCTGAGCTCAGCTTTCCACAGGACGCTGGGGATCTGAACTCCGATCGCCGCGCTTGCAGCGCAGCAGGCACTCTTCTGGTAGACCCATCTCCCCAGTCCCTTATTAAAGTCTAGGGGGGAGTTGTATGTTGTTTGTTTTGTTTTTTTCGAGACAGGGTCTCATTACTAGGTAGCCCTGGCTGTCCTACAACTCACTCTGTAAAACAGAGTAGCCTGGAACCCACAGAACTCCGCCTGCCTCTGCATCCTGAGTGCTGGAATTAAAGTGTGTGACACTACACCCAGTTTGCCTTTTGTTTTATTAAGTGTGAAGGTCAGAAGGCGACTTGTGGAAACCACAAGTCCTCTCACTTTATGGGTTCTGAGGGTTAATCTCAGAGCAGGTTGGCAACAGGTGTCTTCATCCACTAAGCCGTCTCAATAGACAAATTTAAAAAAATTAATGATTTAATTTCACCTGAGTACATCTGATGTCTTATAAACCTCAAAGGCACCCTCAAAATGTAGTCAAGCAAATTCATTCATCCATCAAATACTTATCAAGCATTTAGTACAGGTCCAAGGCTTAATGCCAATGATGCCATAGTAAACAAAATAACAAGGTCTCTATCAAAGAGAAGTTTGCTCTTTTAATTCAGCTTTGATATAATGAAAGAAAAGTGCAACATGAATCTTACTTAGAATAATTGCACTGGGTACTGTTTTCTGCATCAGGCCCCATGTTAGGGGTCTTATCTATGTTATCTCAACTAAACCTTTCAATAACCCCAAGGGGGTGGGGGTGGGGGACCTGATCTTGTAATTGAGGACATTTAAATTCAAGAACTACCCTGAGCGTGCAAGAATAACGAGAGCACCACATTACTCCCTTCCCAAAACTGAACAGGGCAAGCTGAGGGTGGAACATGACAGTCTGTGGACAGCTTCTTCATATCTGCCTGAAGGGAACGGAAACATCTCTGTACCAAAGCTTTCCAACATAAAAGAGCTCACACCAGCTTCCATCATGAAGATTTCAAAACCTAACATGAAAGTTTTAGCATGAAAATAACTTAGCCTCTTATAGTCCTGAACTTACTGCTTTAGTAGACATACAGTATTCATTCCTGCGTTTTAGGGTTTTTCTTCTAGTTTTAAAGACAGAAGCATCTTCTCAGAATATTCCTGTAACTGCCTGCATAGGAAAAGATGTCTTCTCTATCGGAAAGTCTCAGAATAGGTACTCTGGTTGTTACATATACACAGACGGTGGCAACATGCTATCTGTGTGCTTGTTAAACTTTAACCTGCATAGACTCACCCAGTAATCTTGTTAAAATACAGATCTGGGTTCAACCCTTTTGGAACAGGGCATGAGATTTTGACTTCCTATCAAGATGGTTGCTAGTGCTACTGGTCTACGGACAAAGCACAGAAAACCACAAACACAGTCACGTCAGGAAGGTACTTCAAAATGCCTAGGAATAAAAACAGCAAAGAGCTGTTTCCAAAAAGTGGAATATGAACAGTGGGGAAAACTTTACTCAACAAATGCTTGCTAAATAAGTGCAAGAAGAAAAAGCCATTGTTATTAAGTGTGCAAGAGGAACCACTTACATTTTTAAGGACTCAAAATCTGACCTTAGAATTTGTCTAGCCACAGAGTTGTGGCAATGCAGACATGACAGTTGGCCAGATTCTGCGTTCTAGATACCTTCTTTCATAAAAATCTCTTTGCCACAATTAGAACACAATGTTTAAGACATACATAGAATTACATGATATCAATGATCAAAAGAATCAAAATACTTTGCCACAAACTTGAACATTTATTCTTTAAAAGAGTCAGTTGTGGTGCCACACACCTTTAATCCCAGCACTCAGTGTATTGAGACAGGACATACAAGAATTTGAGGCCAGCCTGGTATACAGAGAGAGTTCCAGGACAGCCACGGCTACACAAAGAAAACCTCTCTCAAAAAACAAAACAATGAACAAACAAACAAACAAATAAATAAAATAATTGGCTTTGGCCTTTTGAGACAAAGCCTCATATAGCCCAAGCTAACCTCAAACTGTCTATGTAGCCAAGGCTGACCTGATCCTCCTGCCTCAACATCCTGAATACTGGGACTACCAGTGCATACTAGTTCAGCTCAGTAATTATTTGTTTTAGTAGCTCAAACTTGTCTTGGCAAATCAGTGATGCACGCAATCAAGTTCCTCAAGTTACAGATGACAGGGCGGATACTCGGAGGAAGATACAAAGTACAGCAGTGGAACCAGGACACCCTCTCCAGACAGATGCTCGCTGCTGAATGATGCTATTCTCAAGCTGGCACAAAGCCCAAAAAAAGAGTATCTATTTACTCAACATCACAAAGAGCTCTTTTGATTGTTGCAAGAAAAAAAAATCAGAACAACAATGAAGACAAAGTGATGAGCTCCCATTCAGACTCAATCTTAATCCTCCAAACCCTGAGAATTATACAGCATTTGGAATCAAAGATACATTTGTCCTAACAGTGTGCATCTGTTATCTTCAGGCAAATAAGATCATTAAGGGCCCCATACTACGCCGATTGAGAAGGCCAAATAAGGTCTTTCATCTTTTTTTTTTTTTTTAGTCTTTTGTAAATTAATACAGTTGGTGTTCCATTAATGCTTTTTAGGTGCAAAATTTTTGTAAGAACAGTACAATTTGGTAACATTCTAAAAACGTTCCTTACCATCTACATTTAAGAATAAAGTTTAATGATGTGATTACTTGTTTAACTCTTCAAATTAGCTCACAGAGTATCTATCCATGTTACTGAGTGCTAACCAGGTGTGAGGTTTTGGCTTGGGTCTCTAATACACAATTCTTAAGTATATGCAAAATATACAAGTAACTAAAGCTAAAAAGCAAAACCTACTATTTAATCTGACAAGGTGTTCTGAGTGAAATCAAACTATAAAGTCAAAGAACACTCTAGAGTAGGAGCATTCAACTAGAGTGATCAGGAAAAGCTACCCTAAAAAGCTGGTTTTAAAGTTAAGGATGAATACAGACGTCAATAGAAACTTGAGGTTCGTGAACAAATGGAATTCCAGGCAGGGGAACTGCATTAGTAGGAACATTATAGGTACTTGGCAACCAGCAAAAAACCCAGACTGACTGGAATAAGATCACAATAGAGAAGAAGAAGGAAGTACTATATTTTAAAATTAGATTTCAATCAAAATGCTAGCAGAAGCTAGCATTTATTAAGTACTTACTTGATGTCATACATTATTCTTAATGTTTACCTGTTATCTTGTATCATCCTGTAAACATGCTCATTTCCCAGAAAAACAGCCTCTTCAGAGGTTTAAAAAAAAATGCTTCAATTCAGAGCCAACCTGTACTCTAATAAAAATTTTAATAAACTGTGGAGTGGTAATTCTATTGTAAATTCTCAGGCTAATAATGTCTGTTATAATGAACCTGGCTGCTCGGATGATTTTGTCCCAGAGATGTACTCTGTCAAAGGGACCCTGTC